ACCATCGACGCGAACGAACGTTCGGCTTGAATAATCGCACCAACAATTTCTCGGCTAACGGTTCTACGCCAATAATTATTCGCCCAGGAAACGTTCGAACATAACTATCCCTCTTTCTCCAACCCTTTTAGACGGGTCTCCATTTAATCATTATATTTAGAATGTTTTTATTATCGCTTAAACGTAACACTGTATTTTCTCTTTCCACGAATCTCATTTTCCGTTAACGTTTGACATTTAGTCGATGCAATTTACGACTCGGCTTCATTATCGGACTTAAAAATGAATGACGAAAAATATAAGAACGACATCGTTTTCTTTTCTCTTCTTACAAACATATTTCCAGATGTTCCAATTAATTTGACATTCTTTACATCTGAAAATAACGTTTACATTTATAGTAATACTTTGATCCAGGTACGTACAAAAGATGAAAATTTTTCCCGAGGTATACGGACATATATACATATATATATATCAATTTCATCTTGAAAAAATTTCCGACCACTTTATAAGCCGTTCGAATTTAACAGGAAGTCGCGCCTAAAGCATAAATGCTGACCGTACTACTTTTCGGGCGAGCCTATCCTCGAAAAGATCGACGAGTGCGCTCGTAAAGAGATAGAGATAGAGATAGAGAGAGAGAGAGAGAGAGAGAGAGAGAGAGAGAGAGAGAGAGAGAGAGAGAGAGAGAGAGAGAGAAAGAGAAACTGAAAAAGAAAGAAAAAGAGAGCGGTTGGATTTCGGAGGGGAAACCACTCCTCTATTATTTTCTTTTCACAGAGGAACGAGCACGAAACGTCGAAGCACAGAAATCCACGGCGCGCAACGTCCTCGCCGTTTCGAGGGAAAGCGTGCGAGTTTCGAACCGAAAATCATCCTCCTCCATTTCTCTATCTCTCTCTCTCTCGCGCGCGCCCCCTCCTTCTCTCTCTCTCTCTCTCTCTCTCTTGGTCTATCCATTTCCGTCTATCTCTTTTGCTCCTTCTTTCAAATACGATCGAACGTCGAACCGATCGAGCGAGTGCGGCGGCAATTTCCGTGTCGCGAATGACAAAATCCATCGCGCGCTTTCGAATCACCAAAATCCAACATTTTTTTCTACTACTCATACCTTTATATTGATGGGAATACGAAAAAAAAAAAGAAGATGATTCGACAAATGGTACTAATTAAAGCAATGATATTAAACGCTTTTCCATGATGTACTTCTTCTCTGAAGAGTATACAAATGGTGGTACTTGACGATCAGAGGAGTCTTTTCTTCAATCGTCAAATCGCTAAGTAGTAATCGATTGCGACGTTTGGATTCGCTCGCGAATGCACAGAAAGACGCTGCTGAAAGAAGATAGAATAAACGTATTCGTTCGTGATATAACAGGGTAAACCATGATCCTGATGTCGAATTACGTAGAAAAACCTCTTCTATACAAGTTCCTAATTACTTAACGAATCTGTACCAATGCGACATTGTAATTACTAGAGTATCTAGAGTAACAGGGTGATTCGATGTATCTTGCGTGTGCGTGTGTCGTGAGAGATAGAGAGAGAGAGAGAGAGAGAGAGAGAGAGAGAGAGAGAGAGAGAGAGAGAGAGAGAGAGAGAGAGAGAGAGAGAGAGAGAGAGAGAGAAATAAAGTAGAAGAGATAAAAAGAGAATGCTACAATTGAAAAAGAAAAAACACCTGAAAGCCCATTGGCAATGGTTAGGCTTCTCTGAACACTGGAATAAGGACGAATAGTGCGTCGGCATCCGTGAGAGAAAGAGAAAAGGAGACGAGAGAAGGAGAGAGAGAGAGAGAACCGTCAGTCGATGGCTATGTACCTCCGCTTTCTCGGCTACATTCTTCTGTACGTCTCCACACTTCTCTCGGATTTTCTTCTCACTCGCGAGATCTCGCTGAAACACCACACGAAAAAATGAAAAAAAAAAGAAAAGAAAAAAGAAATAAAGAACGAGAATGGCAGGCGAGCGGTGAACGCGCGCGCGCGAGTTAAACACGCGCGACGCGGACCCGTTAAAAAGAAAGAAAGTACGAAACGACGCTAACCGTACCGAGGCAACGAGTCGACTGACTTCTCGCGACATGGCGCGCCGTGCAAACACTCGACGACGCCATCTTGCGACCGAGCGCGGAACCACGTGACGCTCGAGAGCCAATCGAATCGCCCCTACGAAATCATCGCGCTCTCTAAATGAAATAGACACAGAGAGAGAGAGAGAGAGAGAGAGAGAGACACGCAAAGGACAGAATGACGTAGATTAGAACAAAAAGAAAAATACGATTGTTAAAGAAAATACTCTTGCTTTTCCTTCTCGTTTACCTACGATATTATCTCGTCGATACTCGTTAAACGATGCTCGTTAAATTTTTATTACCTAGATAGGTCGAATATCGTTATAAGTAATCGCGAAAAATGATTGGACATGACGAGAGACAAAAATGAACGAGAAGTAAATATCAAAAGATTCAAAGAGACAAAAGAGCTTACCAAATCCCGGTAAACGAGCGCGAGCATCATGCTCCGTCGAATGCGTATAAAGGAACGCGCTCTGAAGTTCTCCGCTTGGTAGAGATTGACTCGTTCTGTGTGTCTCTCTCTCTCTCTGTGTGTGCGTGTGCGAATCTCTCTGCTAGAAGCCGTTTCAAAGAGCGTCGTAAAACAAAGGGAAAAAATGCGGAAGTTGGATTGTGGATATAAAGAACGGGGATAAAGTACACGTTTTCAGAGACGTATCAGACCTTAACGTGTCGTACATTTTTACAAAAATACGGAAGCAAGAACGGAAAAGGGATTGACTAAGAATGAGAAGGAGAGGGGCAAAAGCGTGACAAGTAATAAAAGTACGAAGGGAAGAAAGAAAAAATGCATCGGCTCGCTTTTTCATCCATTTCTCATTTTTAAACGGACAAACTCACGTAACACGGTGGTTTGTTTTTCTGAAAGGAAAAAAAAACCGCTGAAAAAAGCAAAACTGCGATTGAAAGTCGCCGTTGTTGTCTCTTTTTTTAAATCCTATTTACGAGCGACATTTAATTTCGTTCGAACTGGACGATCGAAAATCGATCGTGTTTTCGCTTCGCTCTAAAACGCAAATTGCATTTTCCCAATGGCCCCGTCGATAAATCCAATCTTTTATTTTTATCTATTCCGAATCATTCGTTTCGATGTCGAGCGCTTCGTAGAGATCTCGTTTCTTCTAAATTACTGAAAGTTGAACCCTTTTTTAAAAGTCAAATAAAGTGGTACGAGGGAAAAAAGAAAGAAGAAATTAGTGAAATTAAAAACGTTTCAGATTGATATCAAACTCGTACTATCTTACGATCCGCGCTCTCTTTTAATAAAGGATATACGAAATCCCATGCGATACTCCTTCATTAAATTATCCCACGTACGTTTGTACATTTTTTTTTACTTGCCCATCTACTACTACGTATCACTTTCTCTCGATGCAAGATGCACCGTGCAAGGCCGTTGCATACGAGATTGCATTTTTTATCGACGATAGAAGAGAACGAACACCGGTATCGTAATAAACGCACACAGAGAGTCAGCCGATAGAAATTTTCTTTATTGGCGACGTATCATAAAAAAAAAAGAAAGAAAAAGTAAAAAGAAAAAGAAAAAAAACAAACCAATAATTTTCTTATACCCTTGACGTAATACGCCGTTCGAAGCCTCCCCTTGTAAAGAATGATTCATCGCAGCAAGTAGATATCTCGTAGCAAGTAGATTGATACAAGGGATATTGGAAAAGATCCGGCAAATAGCAAGTAGGTGCGTCAATTGGCTTTATTTAAAGAGCAATCACCTTTCGTTCGTAATCGTTAAACCAAATAATATATTTAACGCGCATTTAAACCAACATGGAAGGGAGAGGGGGTTGTACAATGCAGCTTAGGCGGGCATCGTGCTCGCTCGAGCGAGACCGTGGCAACGCATACGTTTGTACAAAATCTATAACTCTAATTTAATATATATAAATATATATATATATATATATGTATATATACACGTCTGTGTGTATATATATATATACATATATATATATATATATATTTATATATCTATAATATGTATACACCATGCAGAAGCAATGCTTTCAGGAAACTCTTCGTTAGCTGCCTATGTTTCCGTCATCGAACACCGTCCTAAAAAATCGCTTGTTAAATGGCGTGGACATCTAAAAAAAAAAAAGAAACAATCATCGCAGATCTAATAAATGTTCTCACTTTCTCTCTAATCATGATTAACTAACTACGAGGAAGTACGACTGATCGATCGTTTATAAAGTATACGATATGGAAGATGCGTTCTTTCCTTAAGGAAGAAATCCTACAAATATTTATAACGAGAGGAACGAATGAAAAATTAAGGGGAGGAAAGATCGACGTTCCGTCGATCGTTGTATATAATCAATCAATTATTCAAACACGAATTTTACAGAGCGTGTCGACGCGCGCTCGCGCGCACACACACACACACACATTATCAATGTCCATTTTTCTTCTGATATCATGATAAAACGTACCTTTAGTTCAACCGAACATCATTCGAAAACTCTGATGAAAAAGCAAAAGAAATAGAGTCGCTTGTAATCCTCTAGCACCGCAAAACACGACCCCCTCCCCCAAAATTCACTGCTCGCCAATGGTATATATATATATATATATATATATATATATATATAAATATGTATGTATAGAACTATATAACTACAGTAGTTAACAAGACAAGTCTGCGGACTGCGCTTGGTTGGCGGGCCCGATTTTTTAATCCATTAATTCTAAGTTTAAGTGTATCTCATGTTTTCTGTGTATGTTCTACCGTGTGTTTCTTGTCATGTCGGTGGAACGTAATTGGATCCAATTAAGAGCAATGACCTGTGTCGAGGCAAAAACAATATAGAGTGCATCGGAGGAGCGATTACAATGGTACAACATCAAACATGTTCACTCGCGGAATCACGCCCTTTTCTCTTTCTTTTCTTTTCTTTTCTTTTGTTCCGTTCCGTTTTCCTTTTTAATCGATTCGGGGAGGACTGGTCCATACGGAGACCTCTCGACAGGCATTTCTTATGTTTCGCAGAGTACGAGTAAGATCGTTTTTTTTTTCTTTTTTCTTTTTTATCATCGTTCCTTTCAAACATGACAATGAATACTTAGTTGACGATTCTCTTTATAACTCACGTTCTATAATACGTTTATCCCTTTAACTTGTTAATTATTTATTTATTTTTTTCTTTATTAAATTTCATGCTTCTTAAATCCTACATAGAAGTCTCAGTACGCACCAGCATTCGGAGCAAGAAGCACCTGGACACGGTGTGTCTTATATAACGTTTCACTGCTACGATTACGATTTGATTTGATACGCATGGATACTCTACGCACCACACGGCCGCACCACACGGTAATAGTGAATTACGTACGTCACTATGTTTATTAGTACAGACAATAAATATAAAACGTTAATTGGCATACAGTAATTATGTGTCATCGCTAAACCGTATTGCCTTGGAAAAATTCGATCGCCGGCTAAAGCCTTTTCTTCTCTATCGGTCGGCTTTCTTTTTTCTCAATATTATTATAAAGTGTCGTCGTGGAACTTCGTCGAAGGAATTCGAGACGAATGAAGATGCAAAATTCGTTTTAAAGTTCTCGTTCCTCGCACAGATATCGCGATTATATTGTGTGACGATTCGTGAATATGTATGTCGCGTAGCATCGAAATGCTGGTAACTACATTTTCGTATCGCGTAGCTATAACGAGAATGAATGATTTATGATAAACCCGAGTATGGGACGCGAAACTTTCTTTCCTTACAATAGTATTTAAGTGTCAACGGTCATCGAAGGTCCCGGTCACGCTATATAGTTCTACGGAAGGACGGAAGTGAAAAAGGAAAAGTCGATAGTTGGAATGTACGTGATATCTGTTGCAATGAAATTCCCAGAGAACATGCTTCAGTCTTTATACGATAAAAAGTGTAAAGCTTTCGAGTATTATTTTGTAAGAATAATTTTTTATAGGAATTAAAATCCATCCCATCTCATCGTACGTGTGTATATATATATATATATATATATATACATATGTTTCTTATTCTTAAACAAAATGCTTTTGTGAAAAAATAGAATACAATGTGCGCGACAAACGTATCGTTATATAATCAATTCAAAGTACATCCCGATCGTGCGTCATTTGACCGAAAAAATACTCGAGAAAGTAATAAAAATGACGCAGAGTACGATACGACTACTTTCGACTGTGGGAAAAGAAAAAAACAAAACAAAAAAAAAGAAAGAAAGAAAGAAAAACTTGTGCAACGGTGCTGCAATACCAGCTTATATCTCTGGAAACTTCAAAGGAAGTCCGCAATATTTCCATAGAAAAATAAAGATCTTCCCCCTCCCTAACGAAAAATACGAATAAACCAATCGAAGAATACGAACGCGTGGGAAAAAGGCATCGGAAAGTTCCGCCGCATCGACTTTCGCGCGTAGAAATATCCTTATCCCGTGACATAATTTACTACCTGCCGTTAAGTCGATGTAGCGTAAACACGTCAAACTACGTCCGTCGCCACATCGGGAACGAACGTTTCCTTCTATCCGCGAACAGTTTCGACGGCGCAAGGGACTTCGCAAAGGCGTCGGCAAAGGGCGTCGGCCCTTTGGATATTTCCAGTTTTCTTTTCTCTCTCTCCCTCCCCTCCCTCTCTCTCTCTCTCTCTCTCTCTCTCTCTCTCTCTCTCTCTTCTGATCGGGTCGCTCTCAGCCGCATACCGTCTGCCTTCAACGGTTACTTATTTTGCCTCCGGTATATATTTTGCTTCCGATATCTTTGCCAAGTTTTTATGCGTGTATCTAAATATTTGTTGCGATTCGAAAGAGCCCGCCGTCATTTATGGCAACGCTAGTAAATAGTAAATTGAAAAAGTGCAAAGAAAGGCAGTGAAGATTATGAATTCAGGCCCTGACGCTTCTCCTCTTCGAGCATCGCATCAAGTTCGTCGGTCAGAGTGGCAAGCATATTTCCAATGTCATTGAGAACGTCGGCAGGTTCGCCAACGCCACCGCCACCGCTAGAGTGATGTCCAACGATGTGACCACCGATACCACCACCACCACCGGCACCGCTCGTCGCATATTCTTGAGCCCGAGCAGCTCTCTGCTTTATCGTCCCGGCATTCTCGTTCGCGAATGGTAACGAGTCTGATTCTGTACTGGAACTCGACTGCAAGGACATTCAAACGATAGACGTTAATCCATATATAAGACGATCATAAAGATCGGATAATTCTCCCACCCCCCCGCTCCCTTCACTCCCGCTCCCCCGAGTTAAGATGTTTATCTGGAGTACCTTAAAGCTGGCATCGGAACCATTTCGATGTTGTAGAGCGAGCGAGGCAATTAATTCGTGTTCCTCGTTGACGTTGACGCTTACGCTGCCCCAGGAACGTGACATCGAAGACGGCGGCCGATTGGCTTGTTGAGGAGTGGAAGATGTTGGCGCTGGTGCTGGCGGTGGAGGCGGAGTGTGATGAAGATGATGATGGTGCTGTAGGTGATGATGCTGTTGATGCTGATGAATATGATGATCCTCGCAGGAAGCAGTAGGCACGGGACCGCTGCAATCTATAACGACGTCACCGACGGTAGAACCACCGACGGTCACGACGGTCGGACCAGCCGTGTCTCTCGAACTTTGTCGTCTCGGTGGCGATGGTGGACAACGTTTAGGAAGATGGGGACTACTCTCCAGTCCGTACGTCAATTGATACTTGTTGTCGAAATCACGGGGCAACGACTTGAACTGCCCTGGGGTCGCGGTGACCTAAGCGTCATTCGTCTGATCAGTTCGTTATGCCTTTTCATCCATCTCCATCGTTCACTTACGAACGATTTAATGAAGGAAAAAAACAAAAAAAAAAAAAAAAGGGAAGTTACCTTTGCAACCGGCCGCGGACGAACCAGGCAATGTCTCGGACGTGGAAGAGTTCCCCCACCAGCGTCTACCGCGGAAGCGTCGTTCGTAGGGGTCAGATCGCCGTCTTCGAAGCTTCGCGGGCGCCAATCTAATGGCTGAGGATGCGATTGTGGCGCCGGCGAGGGTGGATAGCCGAGTGGTGCGTCCTCCAAGCTTTCTAAAGACTTTCCTCGGGATCCACCTCTTCCCACCGTATTGTAATCGCTCGGCAGAGCGGCGTACATGCTCCTCCAAGCAGCACCGGTGTTCGCTTCGCTTCCACCCCTCTGAAAGGATCTCAGAACGGGCGAGGAGCAATCCTCGTCGGGCGACGGCAAGTCGGGACCGCCTCGTTGAATAACGACGTCCTGAGAACCGATCAAAATGCAAATTTTACATTACCCCTCGTTCCCCGTCGAAGGCAAACTGTTGCCTTCGGAATAAAATTAAGGGGCTGCTACTACGGTCCTTGCAGAATCGAAAAGATCTTGATATCTCTGCAATGTTTCGAGTTACCATTTGAAATAATTCTCTTAAAGGAAAACTTTCTAAAAGTTTCTAAAAGCACAAACTGCGTAGAATAAAATTTCCCTTAGGATCGTTCAATCACCTGCGTGTGTCCAGGATGTGGAGGCAGACGCGCCAGATCGAGAGGTTGTATGCGCTTGCCCGCACGAATATCCTTAACTCTTTTAATAGCTAATAGCAACTTCTTTTGATGACCCAAACGTACGATACCGATGTCTTCGAGATCCTCCCAAGTCAAAGTCGTAACGTCTTCGACCGAACGCATACCCTGTTGATGAAGAGCACCGAGATATTCCTCGAGTCTGAGAAGTCTCAGCCACTCCTCGAGCGAGCCAGGTACGTGCTCCGGTAATCCATCTCCGATGTTCAAATTGTCTATCTCCGCTTTCAAGCGCTTCCTATGATTGGGCTTCTTAATACCTGCGAAATAAACGCGATCAAAATATATCGCGGCGAGAAGAATATATATATATATAAAAAAAAAAAAAAATAAAAAAATACAAAAAAAAGAAAAAAAAGAAAAAGAAAAAAAAGGTATGCGGTGACGCAAACACGCGTACCTATAGCCGTTAGATCCTCAGGCGTCATGCGCGTTATGGTAGCAAGGTCGTAACCCGCCGAAGCGAAGAGGGGAAAGTATTCTTCGAATTGTAACTCGGTCAGCCAAGCGTGAACGACATCAAGATCCGCCGGTCTGTCCGGATGGCTCCCAAGGGAGCTGATGGAACACCTCGGCGATGATGCGAGAGCACCGGGTCCGCGTGGACCCAAATGATATCCGGATGCTCTTCCAGAATCCAAAGACGCGGTTGAATGTCTCGAACCCGAACCCGATCCCGAACTGCCAGGACTATCTCTTCCAGGACTTTGCGTCATGTCGATACCTTCAAATCGAATAGGTAGATTTTTTGGTCAAACGAATCGTTCGTATGGTCAACAGGTTGTATAAAAGAGTCTAAAAATCTATCGGTCGAACGATAACTACCTTGATCCTCCGCGTGTGCGTATTTGCCAACGACCGGTGGGAAGGCAAATCCTGGGTGCGTAAAAATAGGTCCCGGACTTTTTCCAGATGGCATCCCATAAGAAGCATCGTCGGTGGCCGGGCCACCACCACTACCACTGCCGCTTCCAGGGAGGAAGCAGCTATCCTCGCTGCTCGCATATCCGGCCGATCCAAAGGAAGAGCCAGAATGTCGAAAGACGTCAGGTACGGCCGGCGGCGCTACTTTCTTCGCCTGAGTGACGGCTTTCGATGGCCGGCTCATACCGCCAACTGGAACACGATCCACAAATGAAATAACATTAAAATCGCTCCCAATTCTCCGTAACAAAAAAGGGAAAAAAAAAGAAAAGAAAAAAAAAGAAAACGATTCGACTTTGATATTCGACGATCGTCCCTTTATCTCGCGAATCGACCGCATACGTAAATTTGCATGATCGATGAGGCCTCAAAATTTTGCATCGAACTCTCAAATAAACGAGACCTTAATGATTGTGCTCGTTGAGAAGTAGACACGATTGGCCAGGATCGGCAAAGGCCGTTCCAAGAATGGCGCATCATTTTCACCAGCAGAAGCACATTACGTTAAGTCGTTTAAGAATGCGCCGTAATGAGAAAATCGATAAAAGTTTTTACTGCAGCCCATTGGATCACCGCCAATGCATGTGCATATACTACCTACTACCTACCTACCTACCTCCCTCTCTTTTTCTATAAAGATAACGAGGCAACGATTCGTTGCAGTTCGCTGATTAACGCGACTCTCTTCCAGTGATGGAAAAGATGGGAGAAAGAGAGAGGAAGATGTAGAAGGAGATGCAATCTCGATGAATCACGTCTTCCATTGTGTTTCGCCGATGTTGCATCCTCGCGCGCGCGTAATATAAAATTCAACGACACGTCGCGCCGAGAAGAAATTTCGTCTCTTTGAATCGTTACAACGCTCCCCTTTTCTCTCTTTTCTTTTCTTTGCGTCACTCATGATGTGAACGCAGCGGCAACGACGACGACGACGACGACGACGACGACGACGGAGACACCCGTTCTAATTATCTCAATACCAGAATGTTGTGTCGTTCGTCGCGCCGTCGAAAGAGGCCGAGTACGCGCGAACGCTATACATCTCTTTCTCTTTTCCCCTAATCATTTCTTTTCGCGGATATAACCTACAGTCGTGGCTCGTCGACAATGACTACCTTTCTCGTTTCTCGAAAGACGAGGATGCGAGGGTGGTTTTGTACAAAGAGAGGAAAAAGTAAAGGAGAGGAGGAGAAGGAGGGAGGGAAAGAGAGAAATAGAAAGACGCTGGGCACCGAGCGTCTAAATTCAGCCTTGTTTCTCCGTCTCTATCCCCCCTCTGTCTCTCTCTCTCTCTCTCTCTCTCTCTCTCTCTCTCTCTCTCTCTCTCTCTCTCTCTCTCTTTTTCTTTCTATTTCTCTACACTTGGCCTCAGGGTATTCCGGAAACTCGAAGGTTTATTGCTCCAAGCGTTTCTTGGCTGACCAAACCCGTTGCCTTACGTCAATCGCGATAAGGGAACGGAAACGCAACGTAAAATTTTACAATGCCAAACATCCTCGGACCTTTCATCTTTGAAACTAAAAGAGAGAAAAAGAAAAGAGTGCTGAAAATTCGCACGTCCAGAAGTATTCTTCTTTCCGCGTAGACATCATTCTTATAGCTTTCCTTTGAGAAATATAAATCAAGCGAAACGAGTTGGTCGAATTAACGAAGAAAGGATTAAAAGTGCAAGAAGAAAATAATAGAAAAGTTTCGGGAAACGTAGCGGGTAATTTTACTTGAAGTGATTAACATTATTCTTTCACAAGATTTCACAGCTCGTAGGTGGACGAGAAAGGTTCTCTCTCTCTCCCCTCTCTCTCTCTCTCTCTCTCTCTCTCTCTCTCTCTCTCTCTCTCTCTCTCTGGCGTAGGTGCGAAAGGAACCTGACTAGAGGGGATACATAGGACGAGGAGGAAGAAGTGGAGGTGGAGAAGGAGGAGGAGGAGGAAGAAGAAGTGGTATAAGAGGAGGAGGAGGTCAAAGTCAACGGGCTGTGTCAATTGGTTGCGCAAACACAGAAAAACTGATGCCTTTGGATGGGACAAAGAGACGAGGAGGAGCCATCGTGTTTCTTTGGTACTCTTCCGAGAACCGTCTCTTTCTTTCTTTCTCTATATCCATCTCTCCGCACAGTTACGTAGCGGAATAATGAAGAAGACGAGAATGATAGAAGGAAGAGAGAAATATGGAGGAGGAGAAGACTTTGGGGACAACACCAGGGGAACCACTGAGCTTGCTCAGAAAATTTAAATACTTTGCCTCTCGTGTCTCCCGAAGAAGAAACTTCTTCTTCCACTACTTCTTCTTCCTCTTTTTTTTTCTCTTCCTCACTCTTTTCGTTTCTCTAGCCGACATCGCGTTCCCTTTTTGATGGGATTGAAAGAACTCGACTGGAAATGACAGTTCGGCCCATCCTATTCTTTATCTTCTTTCTTACTTGTAAAATAATGATTGCATTCTCTATCTTTTTCTCACGAATCGTTGGAGGTACTTTTTTTTCTCGTAAAAATTTTCTTCCTTTATTTCTCTTTTCCTTTTTTCTTTTCATTTCCTTTCTTTCTTTCTTACCCATCATCCGTCCGACTTAATTACCAAACGATATAATACTTTTTATCAGGGACGACAAAGCGAAGATAAAAGCAGATCTAAAATGTAGATTCTTAATGTGCTAAGCGCATTTTATGCATACATAGCTTACGGAGGCAAAAACGAATGAAATGAAATCCGAGCAGCGTGCTATCTTCGGCATAGATAGACGTGGTATGCGAAACGATGATGGGCGGTACACGTCGTTGCATTGTGAGAGAGACCGACCCACATCTAGCTCGTGCATCTCTTGCAAAATTGCATTAATCTTCTCGCGCGCTTTATTTCTTCGTGCCGATTTTGCCGGTTTAGTGGAATGTATCTGCATAGAGAAAATAGCGATATCGCTTACAATTCTTATCATTATTATTATCGTTGCCATTATCATTACGGATTCCAGATGTTAATAAAGCAAGATAAAAAAAAGAGGGAGAAAGAGAGAACAAGGAAAGAGAAGAAAAATGTGTCGAAGAAAAAAAAGCAACACGATAAAAAAGAAATGAAGGAGGACTCGAAAGCAGGAATAAAGTTGGAGTATTCTCGCGAAAAGGAAGGATACTTTGTACCTACGTACCGTACACGTACAAAGTCGAACGTGAACGGATCGGCACGAGCGTTTACAAAAGTAGGATAGAGAAACCGCGCTCGTTTCGACACGCTCCTCTTATGTCTTTTATGTATTATTACTCGTGGACTTTTCGTCGTCGATGAACGATCGTCCAGAGAAGTAGTCTCTCGGGCTCGTCTTCTTCTTGCGCACACGTACGTACACATACATACATGCATACGTTAACGTCTTCTACGTTAAACGTTTAACTTGCCATGTGTTCTCGATATGGACCCTACCAAAATACGAAAGACACATTACATTATGGGTATTCTCATCTCGATGCACCCATAGTAAACGCCTACGTATCTACGTAGATAGTAACACCGACGTCTTATTTTGAAAAAGCTTTTAAAGGCAGCACGTACGTTTGTATCCACATCGAGAGGATTCTCCGGTCACGTAAATATAGACGCTTGTAGAAGATCTCTGCACGACTTAGTTATAAAAGAAATACGATAAGCGTTCGTAAATAATCTTTCCACGAACGTGCCGTATATAACATCATCCTCGATCATCTTCCACGAACGATGATTACTATTCCTCGAAATAAACTCGCTAATTAAAGTAACCAGTCCCCACTTGGAATCAAACTTTCCAAAAGGTCTTGTGCTTCTATTTTCTCTCTTCCTCTTTCTCTTCTTGATCATTGCTTTCCCCAAAGACTTTTTCAATAACTTTCGAAGAAATAAACTCTATCGGAAAATGAAAGCGAATCGATTCGATTTCTTTTCGAGAAATTATTCTAATTTACGATCGAAAAGAAACGAAAAGAACGTTTGTACTTTTTCGCTAACTCTCTCTCTCTCTCTCTCTCTCTCTCTCTAAAGTACGAATAGATAAACATTGAAAAATATCAATTACCATATGAATTAGTTCTATTTCTTTGACAGTCCATGAACGAAAGAGTACTCCCTAAAGGCAACACAACGGCTTGAAAGTTAATCGAAAAGTCGCTTGGTTTATATTCTGCTTTTGCTTCGTTTACGACGGGATACGAGGAAGAGGAGAGGAGGTAGAGAAGGAGGAGGAGGAGGAGGAGGAAGAGGAGAGGGTGCAGCGTGCGATCTAGTTCACAAAGTTCACTCGAGTCCTCGCATCGGCATCGAACGTGCCAGTTTCCAGATCGTTTCTGCGAAGGTCCCTCCTTACTTGCACGCACATACATATACCTATATATGTATATCTACCTTACAAAGAGACATACACATACACACACATACACAGACACGCACGTACGAACACTCTTGAAAGAGTTGACAGACACATATATATACACACACACACCACGAATACGTTGCGCACGTAACGAAGGTTTACTTACAATGCGCGTACTGTGCCGATCGCCTTGCTTCTTTTCCACGCGATACTGGCCGATGGACCGAGCGTAATTTACGAGCAACCTAGGGACGACGGAATTACAGTACGGAAAGAGAGCGCGCGCGCGCGCGCGTTCGCTCGCGTTCGATCGATCGAGAACGAAAGTCTCGTTATTTCGATCCTGCGTTTCACTTATTCGACATTTCCAATTGGACGAGTTACAAAACGAAAACGATTAGAATCGATTTCGACACATCTTTCTTTTTTTTTTTTCGGGGGAAAAAAAAAGAAAAGAAAAAAATGATGAACCGACCGTGCCGACGAAACGAAATAAAATAAATTGTTTCTTTTATAGTCAGCTGACTCGCATCGTTCTCATTCCATATATATATATACATGTGTGTGTGTGTGTGTGTGTGTGCATAACCGCATACCTACTCTATGTATATACTAAAACTCGAAGAAGAAACTACAAAAAGGAAATGAAAAAATCGATTTTTTTCCTTTTTTATTATTTCTTTTTTCAAAGAACTGAGTAGATACTCTCTTAAGGCACTTTCCATAGAGTAAAGTCGAAGAGACGTTGTCGTTGAAGAGTTAAAGTCGTCATGCAAATGACTAGGCTCTACTTCAAATATTGAATCGTCTATTTCCCCTTCCCCTTCTTCTTCTTTCTTTCTTTCTTTCTTTCTTTCTTTCTTTCTCTTTTTCTCTCTCTTTATTCTCTTTCTTTCTTTCCTTCGAGTTATAACGACGGTCAGGCGGTAAACGCAACTGGAAATAGTTATGACAATTCAAAAGCTATCATTAGAGAATTACGGCGTAGGCGTGTTAGCACGTGTCAACGTGGCACATGTGTCATTCCGTGTACGACACATCGTCATGGCGTCACTCCGAACGCAAGACAAGACTTTATCGCGTTCGCAGTCATACCGCGTTCGCTTTTCCGTCGCGGAACGTGCACCGTTTAATTAACACGACGAACATACGCCTTTTTTGTGTATCCTATCAACGCTTGAATCGATATACATAGAAGCTATACCGATGACAGATAGAAAATCGTATAAAGCGTTTCTTATCGTGCGTTTTTTTTAAATATGTTTTCTTTTTTCTTTTTTATTATTTCATTTATCTAAATTACGATCCTATTATTTAAAAAAAAAAAAAATGTACGATAATTATTATTATATGATACACCCACTTATATAGAGAGAGAAAGAGATATGTATATAAGTTGGCGTCGATCGACCCTTTTCTAAGAATCTTTCTTCGGCTCGCTCGCTAATTAATTCGGGGAGATAATCGTTGGAGAAAAATCATCCCATGAACGATTCATGCAACGTAGGGGAATAAACGAAATAAATTCATAATCGAATAAAAGCCAGTACACACAGTTCGTGTCGATCGAGCCATGGCAAACGTCATTAACCACGATAAGAGCCAATATACTACTTGAATGTCAATTTAGCGAAACAACAGCCGGTGTTCTGCAACAGGAACACACGGCCATGCTAGTTTAGCCAGACGGATATTGCTCCCTATTATTATCGAGGAAGAGTGGAGAGAACGAGGTAGAATAGAGAGAGAGAGAGAGCGAGAGAGAGAGAGAGAGAGAGAAACGAAGGGACTCTCGTACGTCTCGTCCCTTTTCTCCCCTACCTTTTTCCTCCCTCTCTCTCTCCTTTTCTATGCCATTTTCTTACTCTTTTTATCGCACAAACGTAGTCGCGCGTATATAGGGAAAAACGATAAAACCGACATCGCTCGTACGAACGGGTTTCTCTCGATTCTCAGAATTGGGCAGACGCAACCCGAGCAAGAAATAAAAGGACGCGTCGATGTGCTTGGACGCGTCCAAAGGAAACATATAACCAACTTCCTACTCCTCCACCGAAGAAGAACTCTGTTAGGTTCGTGACCTCGACGACGACTATTCTTCAACGATTACGTTGGAAATGGATCATCAATCAAAATGGAACATCCTGTATATGGTCGATCGATTTTCCGCGATCGAATCGTGCGAATCCAAAAAAGGCGAACGAAGCTACGGAAAAAAGAAGAACGATAAGGCAGATGGAGGTGGTGGAGGAGGACGCTCTCGTTTCGTGCGTCGTTGAGATCGGTCAAGCTCGGTTACGAAATCTGAAAAGAAGGTAAGTAATGCAAGAAGCCGGTCGAGGAAGGTGCTGGCACGGATAGAGAAGGGACGCCACTTGGAACGGGTTCGTAAACTTGCTTCGAGAACGGAGCAAACGATCGTCATCGTTGTCGTCGTTTCGCTAACCAAAGTCGGCCGATTTCATTGCCGTTCTCCTTTTCTCTCTCTCTCTCTCTCTCTCTCTCTCCCTCTCTCTCTCTCTCTCTCTGTCTGTTTTTCTCATTATTTTCTGCTTTTTTTTATTCGCCACAATGCAGAACAAATACCTATCGAGTATTCCTTTGTAGGAATTGTAACTGGTACCTCGTAAAACTTGTTACTAATTGTACGCTAGAAATAGTAGCGATTTAACAGTGACATGTGATATATGTATGTGTAATTGCAAATGAATGCAAAGTAAAGTATCTTGATTCTCGTATCGATTCTCCATATATATACGTATATATACATAAAGAAAAAAAAAAAAATATATATATATATATTATGAATCCTACTATATATTCTACCTGCAGGACTCGATCTCTCACTACAATAAATATTCTTCCCTTTCTCTTTAACTCATACACAAGCCAACTCCCCCTCTTTTACCGTGCTTGCAAAATGATTCGATCGAACGATAATCGACAAAGTTACGTCCCTCCTCATAGACCTCTCTCATCGTTGTCGTCGCATGGTCTAAGCTCGGCCTGTCTCCTGGCAGCTGGCTTTGCCGATATATGTATAGGTTCGCGAGAAAATGCGCCTTATCGAGTAATGCCACCGAGAGCAGCCAGCTTGGAAGCCGCTGCCGGCAGTACCGCCGTCGTCGACGACGACGACGACGTAACGATGCCCTCTCGTTCTGCCTTCCCATTGGTTCTCTTTCTCTTTCTCTTTCTCTCTCTCTCTCTCTCTCTCTCTCTCTTTCGATCGCCAGAGTTCAGGTTCCGTTCGCGCGTACACATGCATACATGTACCGCGAGATATATACGGTCGAGAGAAAAGAGAGAGAGAGAGAGAGAGAGAGAGAGAGAGAGAGAGAGAGAGAAAGAGAGAGAGGCATGAGAGCGCAATCGCGTTCCTCGTCGACGCCCACCGTACTCGTCGAACGATGCATAAAATGTGACGATAAATGAAAAAGGATCGCCGATAAAACGAACCGATTTGGACGAAGACTCGGATATTATCTGTATTTCGCTATTACCTACTCCCCTTTTCCTCGATTAAAAGCGAGTCTCCGTCAATTCACGTTTTTATTTCCATTCTGTAAAAGCCGTTAAACGCAACCTTTCAGGTTGCACCGAGCGTGTTCACGAATCGGACATATGTACATTCGTATTCGTAGGTACATACGTAGGTACCTACGTACGAATACGAACGCGTATGTACGATACGTTGGAGAACGTTTTAATGCTTTATCGACGAATGGCGGCACGATCGTTGGACATTCGGATCAAAAGTTTTCACTTTGTTAATGCGATAGCGCGTCGAACGAGACCTTGATTATTCGTTTATTATCATTTTCCATTATTTTGCTTTTATACGAGCATGGAAATCAATAGACGTTACGACCGAAGCAGTACGTTTTACAAATGGATGAAAAGATAATAAAAAATGTCGTCATACTATATATCGCGTAATTTGTAATGTAAATACGTATTATTCCTTAACATTGAAGAAAACAAAAGAATGATTCTCATATGGAAAAAGAGAAAAAAAGAAAAGTCTTGGACAGACATCTCTCTCTCTCTCTCTCTCTCTCTCTCTCTCTCTCTCTCTCTCTCTCTCTCTCTCTCTCTCTCTCTTCATCTCTTCTTTCTCTCGTCCATCTCCCCTATGCTGATTCCACGAAGAAGTCGCAATCTCGTCGATTGTATTTTATCGACGATAGACCAACGAACAGTGAGCAATTAGTCGCGCAAGGAAAATAATAAAGAAAAGACTATCCATCTCCGAGTCGTCGTGGGTTCTCAGAGAGTTACGCGTATCGGACAGCTATCGAGACACTGCTATCGAGACACAGCTATCGGGACAAGGAGGGTCAGGGTTCGTCATCTCTCGTCGTTCCATAACCATAAACAGGCTCGTCGAACGGCTTTCCATCGATCTCGAGTCCAGGCAAGACGGCAGAGGCAAGTCGAGCTAGCTAGCTCGCTCGTTCGCTAGCCAGCCAGCCAGCCAGCCAGCCAGCCAGTCAGCCACGTCGCCGACTCGTGCCGTATGTAAGTATTTACTCCTAAGAAAAAGAAGACAGAACCGAAGCGAGAGAAATAGAGAGAGAAAGAGAGAGAGAAAGAGAGAGAGAGGAGACACTTACGGTGCATGAGGTTCCGCCAGCTGCCGTAAATCGCTTTGATGCACTTGTCGAGCGGAGTAGCGACCAAATTCGTGCCGGTTTTACGGGTACCGAGATTCCCCTCGGAACGACTTCTGAAGAGTTTACCGCTAGCGAACGTTCCGATCGTGGGTGTTCGTGGTTCCCGAGGGCACAGCTTCGTTTCGGCTTTCTCGATTATTCCGTTCGGTAGCCAAGATTCCATCGCTGGGTCGCGAAAGCTTCGATACGTAGACGAGAGTTTCTTTGAAGATTTTTGAAGGAAACGTTTGCCCGGTGGCAAAGGTGGTGGCCCTAGGCAACTCGTAACCGCCGTGATCGCCATACTTGGAATTTAATTTTATCCTCGACGATTTGCTTTTTTTTTCTTTCTTTCTTATTTTTTTTTTTTTCTTTTTTTTTTATCGCAACACTTTCTATCGAGTTCTCGCCGTTACCCCGATCGACTCTCGATGATTTTATTGTCGTCGTTCGTCATTTTCTTATCGAACGTCTATCCTTTCACGAAGACAACGAAATCTTTGCGAGCACTATCACCGATAGACCGGAAACTTGTCTCTCCTTGGGTGATACGATCTCCAAGCTAACGTCCAAGAGTCAATAAGTTTCTCTACTCGCGTCTGCCACCGGACTACAGGGAGCTTAAGTTTATTGGTCGATGCAGTTAACGTGGCACCTAATGATTCACCAACCAGTTTCCGAGAGGCATACGGAAGAAGAAGAAGAAGAAGAAGAAGAAGAAATCTTTACGGATGCAACGTACTCGAGATATACTGCTTCTCTTCTCGCACCTTTCGTAGAAGAAGAAGATCTCTCGAGACGATCGAAAACGTACGACGCGTTTCCCGCGGATAGTTATTTTCCTTTGCTAAATCCTCGCGCGAAGATGGATCATCGGTGAAAATTAGCAGAAGCTACGAATTCACGGATAGGATACACTAGTCACGATGAAGTAATCGCTAATGATTCACGAATACACAAGAAATTCTCCCTCGCTGCCAAGTTTCTTCAAGGCGAAGCTGAAATCTGAACAAAATCGCGAATGTAATCCGAGGCCGAGCCAAAAGTATTACTTTCGTTCGTAGCGGTCGATCGAACGTGAAAGAGACGTTCGAATCTTTGGAAACGTCGCTGGTAACCGGATAAGAAAGACTGTCAGAAATGTTCGCCGAATAGCCACGGCTATCTCGCTTTCTTTCTTTTTCTTTCACTCTCTCTCTCTCTCTCTCTCTCGCTCTCTCTCTCTCTCTCTCTCTCTCTCTCTCTTTCTCTTTCTCTCTCTTTCTCTCTCTTTCTATTCGAGCCTTTAGCCAAGTAGTGGTGGCGAATGCAAAGGGGCGAGGTCGAAGGTGGGTGAACGAGTTCCCGGCGAGAGACCGGCGGCGTGGGCCGCCCCTGCATTTGGTCGCGTGGGTTTCAAAAAGCGCGACATGTGAATCGAGACTCGCAGCGTATGGAAATATCGAGAGGAGGACGGAAAAAGGCGGGTCGAGGAGAGGGAAAGAGAGAAAAAAAAAGAGAGAGAGAAAGAGAGAGAACGTTATGCAGCAGGAAAAGTCCAGACGACGAGATTTCATTGATCGAACGACCGGCAGCGGCGAACGATTTCGCAAGAAAGTCGTTTACAAAAAAGTGCCTGACGTTTTCGTTATTAATAAAGGTCGTCGATAACGATTTAAGCGCCTCCTTTCTATATCGCCAACACAGGCGCACAGTTACTCGATACATTAAACACGAGTCATTCGTTCGTAGAGCGAACGTTGTTCGCGTAGTTCTTTTTTTATTATTTTTTTTTTTTTTTTGTTTTTTTTAATTCCCTCTTAGCTAATCCATATTTATTTTCATTATTTCTAATCATTTGGAATAAAGGATAAAGAGATGAAAAGTCTCTTGAAATTTTATCGTCATCGCTTATCATGAAGGCACGCTTAATAATAGGCGATAATAAAGAACGTATTAAAAAGTAAGAAAGTAAAAAATCATTTCTAATGGTTTTATCGGGTTAATTCAAAGATCGGGAACGACCAGAGAAGGATTACATCTATCCTCTATTCTTGCTTTCCTATATAGACCAGTCCCGATTAATACTACTTCAATTTGAAGAATCTCTCGTTCCCATTTCCACAGGCGACGGACGATATAAGCTAACCGGTTGAAAGCTACAACAAGAACGTCTCCAGTATATATCACATACCGTATTGTGTTCCTGAAATATTCGCAATGCCGTATTGTAAGAATTTCATTCTCCGCAGGCTATCGTAGATCCTCGACGTCGTCTAAAGACCATCCGTTTCACCGTTTCGTCGCTCGGTTCGATTTCCGTTGTAAACGAAAGCTCGAGAAAGAAGTTCTGTTCGTGGATAGCAAGTTGCCAAGAGAAAGAAAAAGAAAGAGGAAAAGAGAGAGAGAGAGAAAGTTTGGAGGGGGAAAAGAGGAGAAGCAAACAACGACGACGACGACGACGACGACGACGACGACTAACACGAGGGCGAGGACGACGTGTGTAGGGTCTCTTTAAAAGAAAAGTAAGGAAGATCGAGAGAGCTCTTGCGAGGAGTCAAAGAGAAAATAAGAGAAGAGAAGAGAAGAGAAGAGAAGAGAAGAGAAGAGAAGAGAAGAGAAGAAAGAGAAGAGAAGAAAAGGAAGAAATGCAACGCGGCTACGAATAAAGGATAGAAACGGGTAGAAAACGATGAGCGAAGAGAGGAGAGGAGCGAAGAAAGGTGAAGGGAGGAGATGCATGGGGAAGGGAGGGGGATTAGTCTGCCAAGGGATGTTCCCGCTCGATATGCATTGTCTGCCCTGTCCCCCTTTTCAGTTTCCACTCCTCTCTTCCAACGGCCTAGCCTCCCCCCTCTCTCTCTCTCTCCTCATCCCCTTGCCTTCCTGCTTTCACCTCCGCCCTCGCACGCACACACAAGCCAAAGCAACCAGTCTGTGCCAGCTAGGATTCTCGCGGAACGAAGCAGTAACGATCTCGTACACGAGGGCACGCGGCATCGTAGCTACATAGGTATATACATATGTACGTACACGTAAGCACCGTAGGTACTATATGCTTTCTCGGTCTCTCTCTCTCTCTCTCTCGCTCGCTCTTTTGCTCGTGACACACGTACGTTCGTTAAGAGTTACACGCAAGAGAGACACCCGCGGCTATTTCTGCATTATTACGACCTGCAGAGCCTTTGTCCCTGCGCTAAAACACGAAATTACCTTGTAAGCTGCTCGCGGATGCGACTCTGCGGTGACTTCCATATCGAACGACATCGCGACAAAGAACGACAAGTCGCGTACTATAGTCGAGTTCTCCTTTAGCTTCCAAAGACTTTTCTTCCGTTTTATCTCGGAGTGCGAAGAGATCACATTCTCCGACGTTGTTTAACGCCGCTGTTACAAATTTCCTACCCTACGTGTAACCAACGTACGCGACTTTATTACAACTTTTTTTTTATCTTCTCACGACGCGTTTGACAAACCGTGCGAAAAAACGATTTAAGCGAAAAGAAAATCACGCAACTCGGTATTTTCGTTGTTAATACGAATTTAAAAGACACATGAAAGCCAACAAACTATCATTTTAATTGCTCGCATTCGCTTCTTTTATCTCAAAGGATATGCAAAGATAAAAGGTAAAACGCTTCGTCGAGTAAAGTTTCCTTTCTGCATTAAAAAAAAAACTCGACGTTCTCGTTATACGTATATTCCCTTTCCCAATTGACATGCGATTGCAAGCGTATGCAATTAAGTATTTACATTCCGTACGGTCTGAAGAATCAAACACGTTTAATTAAGAAATAAAATATTGCTCGGAAGATTCGAAAGGGAACTTTGTTAAGTGCAATTATCCTTGGATATATCAACGATACGCGGTCGATCTCCGTTCAAAAAATGAAACTTCGTTGCAATTTGTGATGGATTAAGCGAGCCACCCGGTATATTACTCGTGTAAGGCGCGTCACGCTTGCAAGACAATTACCCGATGCAAATGTTAATCCGACTAATATAGAGACGCGCGTGACCAATCATAATAAAGCCCGTTCGTGAAACGGTTTCGATGCTTTTCCTTTGATTAATTGAGCGCGATGTTGTATATCGTCGATTAACAACGCCGTCCGTTAATACTTCCTTTCTCGAAAGTGCTTTGACGCAATGCCGCAAACCCAATCTATAAATGTATGTATACTTCCTAACGCGTAATTACGACAGTGTGATCTGTTATTCATTACGTTGTAATGTACGACTAATTTGTCATATTTTCGAGAAATTTTTATCGCATTACATTTATCCTTTTAATTCGATTGACATTACTAGACATATATGTGTGTATGTATATATATATATATATATATGTATGTATAGATGTAGATATTTGTTCGAAATATGAAAAGTTTCGGGAGAATCGTTCCGTATGTAAAAAAAAATATATACGTATACGCACGTAAACATTTTCCAGACTGGCTATTTCATTGGTATTTATATGGATTAATTAAAAGATGGGATCCAGATCGTACGTCTATATCTATAGATAAAATTAATAACGATATAACGTAATCAATAGGAAGCCAACGTTTTTAATTAAAATCGAATACCCTCTGTACGTGCTTTTAATTGTTTTCCCCGGCTTCTTGAAAAATAAAAAAAAAATAAAAAAATAAAAATAAAAAAAGAAGAAAAAAATAAAAAATGAAAAAAAGAATAGGAAATGAAATAAAAAGAAAAGATAAAATAGAGACACCGAGTCCCGCCGAGCAGAACTGTTTTCCATCGGACTGTTACTACTACTCTTCTTCGTGCTGTCATCGCGAAAAAAAGAGAAAGAAAAAAAAAAGAGAGAAAAAAAGAGAGAGAAGAAATAAGAGAGATAGAAGAACGCACGTTTAAGAGTTTGTTAAGAATTACAGGCGAGTGCCCGCGCCTGGGGCGTTTTCCGCGTTATTGTTTCGCGTGGCCTTTGTCACGATTGCAAAAAAGAAAAAAAGGGAAAATATACTGGCGGAGAAGTAAGATCGCTCTATTCGAGGAAAAAAATGCCCAAGGCGATACTCCGCGGGGATGATAAGCAAGGAAAGCGCGAAAGAGAGCGAGCGGACGCGGTGGCCAATTAAAGCGCCGCGATCATCCTCATTATGAGGAGTTAACATCAACGACTTTATGATCCTTCAGAAGGGCGAAGTGGAGAAGCAAAGAAGGGAACGAAAAGAGAGGAGGGGAAAAAAAGGAAAAAGAAAAGAAAAGAAAAGAAAAAAAAAGAAAAGAAAAGGAAAGAAAAGAAGTCACCGAAGGAAGCCAAGTGGAATTAGAACGATTCGTCGTATCGAAGAAACGAGCCAGCGAGCTCTTTTTAAATGAACTTTTTCCAAGCCAGTTACGTTTGCTATCTTCCTCTATCTTTTTTTTCTCCCTCCCTTTCTATCTCATTTTCTCTATGTCTGCCTCGCGTCTATCTCTTTTTCTCTCTTTTTCTTTGGCTCTCTCTTCATACACGAGGCCGATTCAATTGCCTCGGCTTCTCTTGCAATTTACTTCTCCGTTCGTCGAAACGCTCATCGCCGTTCGTTCCTCGGTACTTCTCGATATATTTTTAAACCGACCGAATCGTTACGTCGCCGACGACAACGACGTCGACGACGTCGACGTCGATACCGATCGTGATATAAAATAACGAATCTCTTTGTTAATCGAGATACCGCCTTCGAAAAAACGAAGCTAAGGAACAGGTTTACCTCGTTTCGATAAAGATAGGAAGAAAGGAGGAGAGAAAAAAAAATTTTATATATATATATACATATAAACCGTCACGATACGCGTCGATCCTTCCTCCGCATTTTCTGCTACGACTCTTATGTAAATGACGGTGAATTCTGTACAGAAAAAGAGAGTGTGCGAAAGAGAAAGAGAGAGAGAGAGAGAGAGAGAGAGAAAAGTCACCCGTAGTTACGGACTCGTGCTCTTATTGCTTGTTCGAGTTAAACGCGTATGTGGTTTTCTCCCCTCCATCCTTATCCTCTTTTCTTTCTTCCTCCTTCAAAATTATTTTCTCCATCACGTTCACGCAAGTCGAACCACTCCAACCCTCTTGTCCACGTACCTTGTCGTTCTCGTTTCGAAATGACCGGAATATTTATTTCTTTTCTTTTCCTTTTGTTTTATTTTGTTTCGCTTTGTTTTGTTTTTCTTTTTTCCCCTATTTCCTGCGTTTCATGTCCTTCCATGTCACAATCGCGTGTCTACTAATCCTTAGCTATCCTCTTTTCCTCTCATTGATGTTAACCAGAAATGAAAAATTTCACACTTAGGTATTAGAAGTACCTTCGTTCGAGAGTAGAAATGCGAAACGGATCAAAAGGAAGTCTTTTAATGACAAGAGGCAGGTTATTCATTTTGTCCTCTTGGATGGCACGAAACGAGGAAGTGATGCGGTAAATTTGTATAATGAAATTTGCGGCAAAGGAGAGTCAAAAGCAGGAATATAAGCTTGCGTTGAGCTCTTTGCTTAAGTAACATTTGCATTCCCCCCCCCTCTCTCTCTCTCTCTGTCTGTGATTGTCTCTCTGATTTATTGCAAAATCAAATCAAAGCCGGAATTAAAGATCGATCGAGAGAGACGTTACCTACCGTCGAACGTTCGAATTATTATTCAACGCGACTATCGCGAACTCGCGTTCGCGTTCGAGCGGAACGCAGCACGCTCTTCCTTACTCCGTAAGGCTAACTAACTCTCGATGAAGAGAAAATCGAACGCCTACGACGCCGACGCCCCAAGAAACTCGTTTACAAGGAGCAACGAGGAAGAAGTTCCCTCTACTGAAAATGTATACGCCGAACCTCGATAATACGTCCAACCTACGGCAAAACGTTAAAGTCCTTTTAATGCTATTGACTAAATAAAGCGTGAAAAGTCTCAACGTTTTGTTTTTTCTTTATTTATTTTCAGTCTTCCTTCTCTCTCGTTGCACAAACAGAGACAAAGAGATATACAGATATATATATATATATATAGAAAGAGAGAGAGATACTCCTGCTGTGGAAGAAGAAATCGAAAAGAAATAAGATAAAGCTTGGAAAGAGATGGAGGAGAGAGACCGAGGAAGAAGCCGTATTTTTGTTCGCGAAAGAAACACAGAGAAAGAGGGATCTCAGAGCACGTGCCATCGTGAGAAGTGGGTATACGGTTTTTGTTTTCGAAACTGCTGCAGCCAGTCTCTGCGGTTGAGACGCGCGAACACTACGACCGCTCGACGAGCCAAAGAAGAAAAAGAGAAACGGAGGAGCTCTCGGAGCAGGACCAGAGAGAAATTTGCATAATGCATCGGGGTGGACGATCGTCGAGGTAGATCCTCGTCAAGGACGAACCACGATGGCTCTCCTTTCCTCTCGTCCACTCCTTCGCCGCAATTATGATCGATAATTTCCCTCTTCCCTTCATATCCCCCTCGTCTGAGAGGCAAGAGCCTTCGCGTTTAACAGATTACCGAGTATAATTTTCCTTCTAGCTTTTACAAAATATTATCGATCCGATCGATTTTTCACGCTAATTTTCTTTACGTCCAATGATATACCTATCTACTAGACGACGGCATTCTCTTTCTATATAACGTAAGAGGCCCTTTGAATTTTATTTTCCAATTCAATTCAACGATTACCGATAATTAACCGAATAATAAACTAATTCAGTCCATTTCGTCGCGGACCGTAACGACCACAATAATATCGCCAAGTCCGGCTTTACATTGTTGCATGAAACCGGTTCGGGGTCCAGTTCGAGCAGGAATTTCGTTTTTTTCGGTTTCCGGTTTAGGTTCCGTTCGATGAGCCGATTGACAACAACCTTGAAGGACCCGGCTCTTAAGTGGTAGCCACTGACATCTCAGTCAGCGCATTCTACCGACGATCCTCGAGTACGACGATCGTTATAGTATAGCGTCGATGAGAAGAGCAAAAAAAAGCGACGACGAAGAAGAGGAAATAGGATTTTATAAAAAATCCTAAATAATGGAATTATTTATAAAATCGCGGTGCGCAGGTACTACGAGTTTGCCTGAATATAATCTTCCTTTTTACTCTCGCGAATATATATATATATATATACGCATGAATATAAATAATATATTACAGCCATTAGGATTACGAGTGAAAATCCTGCTGTGCTCCGATTGAACGGACAACTTAGACGCAGCAGCGTGTCTCGGCCTTAAACGTGAGAAATAACGACGAACTCGTCAGATCGGTAATCACCAGTAACGGGGAGATAATCGGGAATAACGGCCTCGCGTCCACGAAACGCTTATGAGACAAGGGAAAAGTATGTCAGCTTGTAACTCGTCACCTTCATCGCGATGGCGTAAATCCGCGATCGTTCGCCTTAGCTCGTATTGCGATCGATCTGATTTTTATCGATACCACCAACGACAGAAGGGACACGAGGAGGAATCGAACGATCGTTTACACGAACCATCGATTTATCGTTTATCCTCGGTAAAAGAACTTCTTTCATGAATTATCGCGAAATCGTACGGTTTCATCGTTTGATCGTTTCATCGTAATACTGGAATAATATCGGCCAAGAGAGAATGCACGTTTCTAATCATCAAAATACCGAGTAGAATAGAAAAATATTTCCGTGTAATTAGGGAGAGCGGCAACACGACCAAATATGGGAGGCGGAGAACGCGGTCCAATCTGAAAATCGATATATCTAGCACAGCTGGCATCGACGAGCGTGCATATTCTATACCAACATGGATAGGTATACATATTACTACATACCGCTGGCTTTGCCCGGTATACGGCGGAAAATGAACCATGACGAACGGGCACAATGGCGAGAGAATTACTGCCACGCGAATCTTTCAACGGATCGGTGGATTAGCTGTCTCTCTCTCTCTCTCTCTCTCTCTCTCTCTCTCTCTCTCTCTCTCTCTCATCCATACTTTCTCGATAACAGCTACGTTGGAAACACATCGAGCGATTACGCCAGCGACGACGATGCATCGGCGCTTATCGGCATGAGCGACGCTTCGATTCTACTCCCAAGAATCTCTCGAGGATAATCGCGCTAATGGATATCTTACAGAATATCTCCTCTAACGGGAGAAGAGAAAAAGTTTAATTAACGATGCGTTTCTTTTGCGAACGGGCGAAAGAATTTTATGGCGAGTCTAAGCGTTAACCCCTTCGCACGTTCGCGTGTGTGTGTATGTATATATGTATACATACATATATATATATATATATATATATATATATTTATCTACATATATATTTTCTCGTAGATGGTTAATTGACCAGTTTAGTCGGAAAGAAGGAAGCCGCGCGAAGGAGTAATTTGCCGAGCTTCTCTCCTCGGCGCGTTTTAAACCTGCAAAAGACGACGGTGGCGTGAGAGAAATACGACACCGCCTTCTCCCCCTCCTTCTCTCACTCTTTCTTTCTGTTGTCTATGGCGAGTATTAAACGTCTCACGATATGAGGTAAAATCTACCGGCGACATCGTAATTAGACATCGATTCTCTCTCCTTATTTATATTCCAAAGGAGATGATTAACAATAACAAGCTTCCTCTCGAATAATTATGGTATAGAGATATTGACGCGCAAGGCATCAAAAGTATTTCTATAATAGTTCGCAAAAGCACAAGAAATATCGCAATCTCTTTTTTCATCTCTCGATCTTTTTCTTCCGACGATGAACTTGAATCGTAACGATTAATTAAAAGGTCTGTTTATCGTTTATCTTACATATGATAATTAAGAATTATCCAGCTCTTAGAAAGTTCGTGCAAAGCACGCATTTATCGCCTACATCGACAACAAATAATTCGCGTTAATCAGCGCTCTTAATTACTAATCCACATTTACGGGAGTCCATCAAACGACTAATTAACGGCCACTACCGGCGACGCTTAATTACTAGCCAGCGACTCGCAATGATTCGCGATCGACAATAAAACACATTTCGGATTAACGTGCTGTGTTACCAGCGATCGAATCTCTTAGAACAGTCTACTTCGAAATACAAGATATAAAAAGGGAGAGAAAAACAGAATCGAGATTCTACGAAAGCAAGAAACATCTCTTCTACCTGAGACCCGAAATCCTCGGAAGCTGTCTTGTTTATAGGACTATCTCTCAAAACGATCGATTCTTTAAAATCTACCTGCGAGGAGTTGCAGGTAGGATTCCGAAGAAACAAAAACAATACGATGGAAAATCGAATGTCTTGTGAAAATGACGGAATTATACAAATTGGATAACTCGATGATTCGGTATATTTATCTATCGCTTGGTGATAGTCGCGATTCGGCCAACGATGAACTAGAAAAACAAACTGAAGAGAAGGAGTAGTGGTAGTAGTGATGGTAGTAGTATAGTAGTGTTAGGTTAGTAGTAGAATAGTAGTAGTAGTAGTAGGCAAAGAGACACAACGTCTTATCTTTTTTCGTCCGCCATTTCTCGATTCGCCCCTCTGTACGAACAGAGTTCCCGGCGCAGAGAGACACGTGGATAAAGAGAGGAACGCATAGTATGGGTTTTCAAAGGGTGGGGATAGGGTCGGTCGAACGAACGAACGAACGAACGAACGAACGAACGAACGAACGAACGAACGAACGAACGACGAACGAACGAACGACGAACGAACGAACGAACGAACGAGGGAACGAATGAGGGAAGGAGAAGAGGGGCAACGCTCTTCGAACGGTTCGTAGCCTAGGGCGCAGCGAGACGAAGGGCGGAGGACGCGAGGGTGAAGGAGGAGGAATGGAAGGGCGGAGGGCGAGGTCGAGAGGGAGATTCAACGTTGCCGCTCACACGGACTGGCTCTCGTGTAAACAAGAGAGAACGTGGCAACGTCGCGAGCACGTTTCGGGTAACGTGGCGAACTCTCGGATTACCTGGACCAACCCACGCTAGCCATCCGGCTCTCTCTCTCTTTTTATCCTTCTCTCGCTCTCTTCTTCCTCGTCTGTTTTCGTCGTTGTTGTTGTTGTTGTTATTATCTTTATTATTATTATTATTATTATTATTATTATTATTATTATTATTATTATTATTATTATTATTATTATTATTATTATTACTATTACTGTTGCAAGTGTTGAGCACTGTTAGCGCTGACATTGCCCCCACTATCGCTTCTCTACTCTCTAGTTTGTAAGCTTTTTCAAAGAAATTCTCAACGAAGGGAGAAAACAAAAATTGAAGAAGAAAAAGACCAAACCGCGAAGCCAATGGCGTTACGAATCCCACCACCCTAGTCATGTTACTACGTGTGTAACCGTGCACCAAACCATCGTTGATCAGCATCGATGGCAGCAGCAGCGGCGGCGGCGGCGGCGGTGGCGGCGGCGGCGGTGGCGGCGGTGGCGGCGGCGGCGGCGGCACGACGATGCAGATGGAAAGAAGCAATGGCGTAGGTCAATTTTACGTTACACGCTAGCTCTTCAATTGTTTCAAGCTTATTCCAACAACGGAGTCAGCTGCGATAAGAGACCGTCGCGTGATCGGAAGGAAGCCAATACAGAGCAAAATGATCTCATCAGCTAGCATGAGAAAAATTAAGAGAGAGAGAGAGAGAGAGAGAGAGAGAATGATAGGTCGCGCGAGAACGAGCGCAAAAGCGTAAGACTACGAATTACTTTAAACGACGAGCTACTTTAGCATATATGAGCGTCATAAACAAGCACCTAAAGTATGAGTTATTCAATTACATCAAATCGATCGTTTCCTTTTGAGCCTCCAAGTACACGACGCGAATTATCTTGCTGAACGAAAGTTGACACTCTTAATGCTTTGGATATCGTTCAAAAAAGTCGACATTGATAAGGCCTTGCCTGAAAAATCGATTATAGAGCGTCTCGCGTAAATACATAAAAAAAAAAAAAGAAAAAAAACAATAAAAGAAAATAGAAAAGAAAAGAATGTACATTATTATTTATGAGGCAAGTTAAATACTTAAATCATAGGATATGACGATAGAAATCGTTATGCGGTATACGTAGGAGATACGAACGATGATGCGTGTAACATATGCAAATAGAAATTCCTACAAGATCGCTTATCGTTGAAGGACGCCTGGAAACAAAGTTCCGTGAAAATTAATTACCGTGAGATCTTGGTTACTCGCTCGTAACACGACTCGCGAATTCTTTCGCGACCTTTTCCTCTGACGTTAAAGGATCCTGCAAACTACACGTAGACCGTTTCAAACAGACTTTGTTAATGTCGGTGACTACATTTACCCGGAACTCTCTCTCTCTCTCTCTCTCTCTCTCTCTCTCACATACATACATACATACAAACACACACACACACACATATACGCAGTATTTCCTGAAAATAGTTTCGCGAGATCGGGGTAACTAATACGGATCGATGGAATCGCACGGTAGGTATGATATTTGATGAAAAAATCCAAAAGAAAAATAAACCTTTCACATAGTAGAGTACATAAGCAGTCACCACTACCAGCTTATATTACTTTCAAGCCTGACCTATCGGAAATTGAAATAAGCTACTAATCTTATTTGCATCCAAGTTTTTAACGTAGACTAAGTTTAATCTATGAAATCTTGAAGAGAAATTAAAAACTACGATGTTATAACTACGTCGTATTTTGATTTAATTTCGAACATTAACGAACGTAAGCACGTTAGAGAGTGATATTCCATCGCACACATTCATTTCGTATTGACGTCTGATACACGTACATATTTAACAAGCCTTTTATATATGCAATGCATTTAAAATCTAATTTCACGTCACATTGGCATTAACGTTCCCATCGCACATACAGCCTCTGTATTAGTTCTTCATTACTTTCAAAATAATATTACTTTCTTTTTGACTTGATATTTTTTGTAATTTTTCCCCGTTGAAACGTGATTACATAAAATGCGAACTTTTTCATTTCCAGCACATTTGAAATGACGTTTTTGTTATCCTCAACTTGTAACTTGATGCGATTCTATTTCGTTGCAAAACATCACTAGCGATAAAGTGCCGATGGAGAGCGAACGTTTCTCGCTCGTATACAGTTTCGCGGGAGGAGGAAGAGAAGAAGATTGTTTCAAGAGAAACGATGGAAGGTCGCTACCCTGTCTAAAGAAATCTGGAAGAAAAATAAGAGTGACTCTGAACGCGGGACTATCGTCACGCGCGTTTTTAAGAGAATAAGCGCGAGAATGTATATAAGCACGTTCTCAAAAGAGAACGCCACGCGATAAACTGCACCGCGTCGACAAAGGATCCGCGGAATTTCAAGGATTCTTGGCTTCCCGGCTAGTTTGACTGAAGGAACGAGAGAGAATTATCCGTAGAATCCGGACAATCTAAATAGAAGCTCGAAGAGACTCGGAGGAGTATGTTCTCGTCGAGGACAACGTATGTATATATGTATTAGTATTTGTATATACGTGTGTGTGTGTGTGTGTATGCATTTACAATATACGTAGTGTATTGAAGTATGAAAAGGGGGGAATAGAGGAAAAAAAAAAGAAGAATAGAGGGAACGACGAGGAAGACGAGGACGGCTTCCCGATGTAACGTGGCACTCTCTTTGAGTTTCGTGCCAAATGCCAGTGTCAGCAGCCGGCGTTTACCTACAACGTAGCCCGTTCTCTCTCTCTTTCTCTCTCCCCCTCCCTCTCTCTTCTTTCTAGCCTAGACGTCAACGTCGATAAAGCGAAACTCGCGAGATAACGTCTGTGTGCATAGTCGATGAAATTTATTTGATATACAAGCTGATAAAAATACGACTCGTCATAGAGTACGTATGTAATGGTACGTGAGCTAGCAACGGTACTTGTATGACCCCCAAGTAGTCTCCCTCTTTAAGTTCTCGACTTTATGAGACTAAAGACGAAAGTACATAGATAATATACACAGGTATATACATATATATATAGATAATAAAAAATGTGACGCGGCATAAGATTTTAGATCCAGTCGAGAACTAATAAAAACAATTTTACTGGAATCGCATTGCGGAGACGACGCAAGAATATATGTGATATGCGATTAACGAGGATTAGTACTTTGGTACATACATTCGCGTTATATTCGAGCGTACACGGCAAAGGAGATAATGAGAGGCTCTCGAGCCTAAACTAGGAAATAGAGTCAGGTCTTGTGGTCGATCGTCGAGCAACTAAGTTAGCAGTAAACGCATCGATTACACGCTCATTTAATCGCGACCGCAAAAATGAACCGCACATTGCTGTATAGTCGTCGGCAACAACAGCAGCAGCAGCAGCAGCAGCAGCAGCAGCAGCAGCAGCAGCAGCAGCAGTAGCCATGCTAATCTATGATCGCTTACGATCGAACACAAAAGCTGTAATTCCATTGGGAGATATCTCGTATCTAACGAGAAGGCTCGCTCGGAGATCGGCAATAGGCCGAACGAAGGAAAGAAGCGGAATGGAACGGAACGGAACGGAACGGAACGGAACGGAACGAATGGTGACCTTGAACCGGTGACTTCAAGCGAACACACATACACACACACACACATATGTGTATAGATATATATATATCTATATATGTACATAGAGGGAGAGAGAGGATGTACTCTCGCATAATTATTTTTTTCTCTTTTTATTTTTTCCACGAAAACTCGACAAGTTGATGTATTCCTGTTTGTTTCAACGACGAGGCTGCTAGCAACAGGTGCCTTCCTTCGGCGTCTTTTGCAAAGTGCAAGAGCCGCGCACCGACTCGCGACGTGAATGATACTCCAAGCTTTATTCCGTTTTCTCAAAAACCTTTTTATATACCCTGTACAACGCGAAGAAAAGAAAAAAAGAAAGAAAGAAAGAAAGAAAGAAAGAAAGAACATGAACAGGGAGAAAATAAAGGGGGTCGAGGGGAGGGGAAGAAAAAAAAGAGAAGGTAAGATAGAAGAGACGCAAGGAGAGTACAAATGGTCGTATTACGAAAGGTAGCTTGAAATTCTGTTAAGCCGAGTACACACGTTCTTCACGGTAGGGAAGCGACGCGGCATACGTGACCACGAATTCTCTCGACGTACTACTATACTCGCCGCATGTTTGCTCGCTCGCGCGCACATAGCTTGTGCGTGAGTAAGTAAGTAAGTAAGTAAACGAGTGAGTGAGTGAGTAAGTGCGTGCGTGCTCGCTCGCTTCTCTTCGTCGTCGTCGTCGTGTCGAGCGTTGCAAAGTTGTGGCGTCCGTCGTAATCCTGCACGCCGCCATGCGTTTCTGACGCCGTCCCTTTTTCCACACGACTCCTTTGTCCCATAGATCGAACAAAGGACTAGGCCGTTCCAAGGACGTGTCTATAGGAGCCGCGCGACCGTTTAGGGTCACAAGTTCCGAGGTCTATAGGACGAAATAAAAATCGAACTGGCGAATCGAACGTGCGTACTTCTCTCTCACTTTCTTATACGCATACACATATATACACATATGCATGTAATATCCGCCCTCTAAACACGAGTTCAAAAATATAAATGGAACAAAGGCCATACTATTATTATATAAAAATTACAATGACAACGACGACGACGGTAGCATGAACATTATGATACGCCAAATTTGTAAATTTATAAGTATAATACGTATAAGTCGGAAATAAAACAATGTCATTTTCTTGATATTCTCAGGTAAACATTTTTTTACCTTCTTCTATTATCGATACTAGGTAAATAGTGAGGCAAAAAAAATGGGGTCATTAGTTTGAAATAAATCGCATGTATCCTTTCCTTGAATTAATCATTATTAAGGATATATCACGCGTGTTCGCTCTCAAAGAAAGTGATGGAACGTCCATTTGTAAAAAGGACCTAAAGTAGACTACCTGAGACAAGGAGAATCGTCCCTAGTTCGGTCGATTTTCCTCGAGATAAGGAAAGAGGAAAATGGACTCGGATGGAATATATATATATATATATATACATGTACGTATACAAACGTGCTTTCCATCAGATAAAATCAAATGAAAGAAGTCGGTGTGAATTTATGATAACGATTAGTTAAACGCGGACTTTGACATACGAAATACACAAAACAATCTTGTATCATAAGGATCTTATTTCTCTCAGTCTTTTTATCTTCCAAATCCTTCCAAGTACCTTTCTGTTCCTCCTTTTAGTCTCAACTCGTTTATTAACCTGTTAATAATAAGGAAAATGTTTGATAGAAAAAAGAAAAGATGTGTCTGATTTAATTTTAATAGAAAATAAAATTTACGTTACGAACGAAGACGTGAAAATTATTGAATCCTTAAACGAAGGATATCGAGAAGTATAAATCTTTCTTAAAAACAAATAACATATTTATTCTTTTGTCAAGGATCTTTCTGATGTCCTTTTTCCATGGTTAATGGATTAATAATTATCTATTTATCATTCTCGATAACGAATTTTTCTTGAAAATAATTTGTATTAAATGTATAAGCTTACGTAATAAATTCATTATTGCATATCTCCCTCCTTACCCTATCGCCATCCGATAATAACGAACTTCAATCTTTTTTTTTTTATTCGTCCACTTTCGTTAAACGATCTCAACAATGTTATCGTTGAAAAATCGATCGACTAATGGAGTTGCAGATTAAGTACGACAGAGTATATAATGTGGCATCAAAGTGTAAACTCGTATCGTCGCGAACGTTATATAAATCAAACAATGCGCATAATTCGATAGCCCGAAAGAGAGAGAGAGAGTGAGAGAGAGTGAGAGAGAGAAAGAGAAGAGAGAGAGAGAGAGAGAGAGAGAGAGAGAGAGAGAGAGATCGTTTCCATTCCACATTCGAGCGAACGTGAGCTGCAAACACGTCGAGTTCATCAGTGGATTTCAAGCAATTCAACGCTGGGCTCGATCCAAGAGAGGTACTCGTATATCAGACTCCGCTGATTTTGCACCGGTGAATGCGGCGAAAAGAGAGAATGGAAGAAGACCAGGAGTGGAGGAAGGAAAAAAAAAGGGAGAATAAAAAAAAAGAGGAGTATGAAAAATAGAATGCCAGGATAAACGAAGAGAAAAGAGAAAACGTTCTTGAAAGCGCGAAAACGAAGTCGATATTGGTTTTTCGTTTTTTCTCTTCCTTTCCTTTTCTTTTTTTTTCTTTTTTTTTTTTTTTTTTTTTTTTTTTTTTTTTTTTTTTTTTTTTTCTTACAATTTGATTTTTTCTTTTGCACAATTTGATTTCAATCCCGTATCGAAGGGAATAACTATTACATTTATCTAACAAGAATACGAGAGTTATTATCGTACAAAACCTTTCGAAGCTCGTAGAGTTTACGACGGTGCATTAAGAAAAAGAAAACGAGAGAGAAAGGGAGGGAGAGAGAGAGAGAAAGAGAGAGAGAAGATTCGTTCTAATTTACGACTTCGACTTGAACGACAACTCTAAGGAGTTTACGAGCAAATGAACGAGGGAGAAGGATATCGTTGTCATTGTCATTGTTACGATCATGAGAAAAATAGGAGAGAGAGAGAGAGAGAGAGAGAAGGATATAAGTGGATAGAAAAACGATTCGTAGAACGATTCGTAAAACGATTCGTAGAACGAGAATATCGTACGAAGGAATTCTCTCAAGGCTGTTGCACGGCGCGCTTGTTGGCCGCAGATGCCGATTTCGCGAGTGCACGATCTTTTTCGAATTTTCTTAAATGTCACAACAAACGTCGTAGAAACCGAGTAACAGCATATCGATAATATCGAAAGGATAATATCGAAGGAGCATTTGCGAAATTGCGATTGGTCATTGTTCGGACGGCGAAGCGATTCGAACGATTCATTGTTCCTGTGGTTCGCGATATTGTCGCGATTTAAAAGCGGTCAGGAAGTCGAGAGAGAGAGAGAGAGAGAGAGAGAGAGAGAGAGAGAGAGAGAGAGAGAGAGAGAGAGAGAGAGAGAGAGAGAGAGAGAGAGAGAGAGCGGAGAAAAAAAAAGAAAAAACAAAATAACATAAAAAAAGAAAATAAAAATGAACGAAGCAAATTGGCGTTCTCACTGGGCTATAGTAGTAAAAGAGGATATACGAGCGACACATGAGCTTTCGCGTAATCGAGAATGGAATGTCGCGAGGGAACGCTACGTCGTAGACTCCTCGACCTTCGTTTCTGTTTTTTTTCCTTTCTTCTTTTCTCTCTCTCTCTCTCTCTCTTTTTTCCTTTTTTTCCCCTTTCATGCATCTTTTAACTCGTTCCTATATATAGAGAAAACTACGTGCACCGATTTCAAAACTCCGCGTGACAAAATACTACGTATACGACGGAGAAACGAAAATAAACAAGTTATATTATGAAATAATTTCCCGTTGGACGAGAAAGTAGCGCTCGATATCAGCTGAGAGCGAATTAATATTCGATATTGATACGAGAGGATTTAATAAAATATGTACCAAGTGAAAGAGCCAGCGAGAGAGAAAGAGAGAGATGGACTTTGTTTTTCTCGCTGCTCCTCCTTTTTCTTTTCTTCTTCTTTACTTCTCCTTAGTTTTTTCCTTCTTTGGCAGAGCTTTTTAACGGGAGCTCGCCCACCAGCGGGATAATCCGAAGGCGAGCACGCCTCTCTGTTTCTGCCCGATGAAAAGCGCGTCAAGGGTTATTGAAGAAAAGGATTTGCATTCGAAAGTAGTGACGCGTATATAATTTCTTCTTCTTCTTCTTCTTCTTCTTTTTGCTCTCTCTCTCTCTCTCTCTCTCTCTCTCTCTCTCTCTCTCTCTCTCTCTCTCTCTTTCTCTCTACCTCGCGAGAGAAGGAAAGAAAAATAATAAAAAGAAAAAAGAAAAAGAAAAAAAGATAGAGAAAAGGAAAACACACAGCACCTCGATTAAAGCGAGTCGTTTTCTTAATTGCTGCGACGAAAAAAGAAACGAAACGAAAAAAGGGTGAAACAAGGGTAAAAAAGAAAATAAAAAAAGGAAATATAAGTGGTAGCGGCGTTTAAAGTAAAAAAAAAACAGGGAAATCCCCGTGAATGAGAACCACTGTAGTGGGACTCGACGAGTCGTTGATATTCAAAGCGCTTTTAAACAACAAGTCGGTAAGAAAAGAAGAACGTTTCGTTCGCAATCGCGCTCGAGTTTCTCAGTCTCGAGAGAGTCACGTACACTCCTCCTAGAGTCGTATCGTGACGTTGATGCGGGTAAACGAAAAGAAGGATACTTGAAATCGAAAAGAGAGAGAACGCGGCGCCGCTGTTTCGAAAGAGAAAGAGGAGAGAGAGAGGACGGATCGATGCTCTGGGAAAAATAATTTGCAGGAGGTCCTAAAAAGTTTATCCAAAGTTCTCGAGAATGAAAAAGGATTCTTTGTCCTGAGAGAAAACTCTTAACTTATCGTATAATATCCGAATGACTCGTCTCGAAGTCAACGGCAACGATAATAGCAGAAACGCTGAAAGTCGAAGGACGAGTGACAGTTCGAGTTGGAGCGCGTTTTTCGCTCGAAACCGTCTTTCTCTCTCTCTCTCTCTCTTTCTCTCTCGCTTATCCTTCGAACGCGCTCGAACTAGAAAGCCGATTTCACCGGCCGTCTTCTAAATCCCATTCCCCTCCCTCTCCTTTCGAGCGTTCTACGTTAAAGCTACGTTGGCTCCTATACCTTCCCGAAAAAGGGAATATTGGGACGCAACGCGCTAAATCGTACTCGATCATTCGAACCAAAGATCGATATAATCGTTGAGAAAAGATTCTTCTTTTCCTCGTTCGAGAGTCGCGTCCGTAGTGAAATCGAATCGGCTTACCGCTGATACGTCTCATGACGGCTTCACCACGACACCACGGCTCGTATCCAAGAACAACAACCGTCGTCGCTGCTGCCACTGTTACCGCCTCCGTCACCGTCGCCGCTGCTGCTGCTGCCGCCGCCGCCGCCGCCGCCGTCGTCGTCGTCGTCGCCGTCGTCACCGTCGTCCTCTTCGTCCTCGTACTCGTCCTTCCGTAAGCGTCTGTAGCACTGCTGGTGATAGGCTGATCTACGCTGACGCTCCTGCTGTCGCTGCTGTTGCTGACAGTAATGACGAGGAGGATGATGCTCGTCCAACCTGCGGTGTTCTTCCGCGCGAATCTTTTCCCTCGTCGCTAACACCATACCAAAGGAGAAGGAAGAGGAGAAGAGTTTTTCGCCAACGACCACCGATCACCGATGATAATCGACATCCGATAAGCGCGCACACGTCGTCGTTTCTTCGCGACAGCTAAAGCCCCGCGCCATTGCTCCGTCAACGAAAGAGAGATTGAGAAAGACAGAGAGAAAGAGAGAGATCCGAACGCGCGATGATTCCGCTTCGACAGCGAGAAACTCCTCTTCTCTTCTCTTCTCTTCTCTTTTCTTCTCTTCTCTTGTTCTCCTGTCTTTAGAATTATGTTATACCAGCGGGCTACTAGTACTATTATTCTACTATTACTACTACCATTATTATTATGATGATTACTAGTACTACTACTACTACTACGACGACGACGACGACGCCGCCGCCGCCGAGTGTCCTCGCGAAGGACGTCGCTCGAGACGCGTCGTCACCACCACCGACCGACTCGTACCTTCCCTTTCCTCTTCTTCGTGGTATAGAGAGCACGCGCGCGCGCGCGCGATTCTCCGATCTCTCTTCCTCGTTTCCGTTATTGTATCTTTCTCTCTCTCTCTCTCTCTCTCTCTCTCTCTCTCTTTCTCTCGCTCGCTCGCTCTCCCTTTCCTTTAGACTTCACTTCACCTCGATCGCTACGTCGAACGTCGAAATATCTTTATCGATCGCGAGGACGATAAAGGAAATGTGATTATCGGTGAAAACAATAATGACAACGACGAAGAAGACATACTCGCGGTTAACGACCGCGACTACTTCGCCAACACGTACTCTCTTCCTCGTTACGGTTTCGCGTCTGTGCTTGCGGCGCGCTACGGACGCGGAAGAAACTCGTGATCGCTCTTCTTTTACGAGCACGAAAGACGAACGCAGACGCGAAGCCGCCGACTGCGGTTATCGTAGACCAAGCCTCAAGCTACCAATCGCCGCCGCTAGTCGCGCTCGCATCTACTCCAATGAACGGTCGCGCCCTCATCGCACGACCAGCCGCTCGCGCTTATTTCGAATTCCTACTTATTATTTTATATTCTACGAAATAAACACCATCCTTTTCTTTTTGGATTTAATATTTTCTACCAGTTGTAAAAATTTGTTCATTCGCTCTTCGCTTTTCGTTCTTTCGAAGATCGAAAGATCGAAATCGGAGATCCGTTACGAAATGTATAATCTACGAGTGCGTGCACCGTACTGAATCAACAATGGAGTGGTCGCGGTCCCTCAAGGATTTGTACGGCCGAGATACGAAAAGTAAATAGAACAGATTAGATAACGCTGTACAAAATGAAGAAATAGAATACGAATTCTCTCTCTCTTTCTCCTCCCGTAATACGTATAGCGGAGTACGTCGTTCTAAATATTTCAACGCGATATATATCGTGCTTTTAATTTCTCACAAATTACGACCTTCTTAGCGATAAAAAAAACCGGCTCATCGATCTTCTCGTACATATTTTTACCATCAGCTCTCTGTTTAATTTCTTCGAGATGGAGGAGGCTGCAATATCCGATGATTCCACGTGCGACTACCTACGCCTGCATCGAGAATACGTAATGAGAAAACCGTTCGATGACTTTAAGATGGCCTATCGTGATACACGATTCTTGTATCGTTAAGTATTCCAAGCTTGAATTACATGAGCGAACAAAGGACACGTCGTATTGCTAAAAGTACGACTCGCAAATCCCCTCTAACGTGTGTGTACTAGGTTTCAACTCGATTCTATTAAGGGAAAGTGAAGACTCGTTAAGGGATACGATCGAAAGGAGAGAAAAATCGACGATTGCCTTCGTCGATAGTTTTTACTTATATCAATCGATATTAACAAAGTCGAATTACTCCGATTATTAAAATGAACGTAGGCATATACTTCAGGCGAATTGTCGGCGAACTTTTTCTAAATAAATCACCGGAGATAGAAAAAAAAAAAAAAAGAAAGTAAAGAAAAAGTGGGTATCGGTAAAATATGAAATGTAAACTTTCGAAAGCTTTGTATGGCATCTGTATTTTTCCCAAGCGTTTTAAAAATAGAGTATTCACCCTGCTGTTACGTTTTCAAGTATTCAAGATAAGCTTCATTAATCTAACCTACTGACATGTAAAGGCGACTGCTAACGCGTATCTTCTTTTTCTCCGACCTTTTCATAATATCGAACGAGAAACTCTAACCGAGAGATGTATGCGGTAATTTATGCGAGTTAAAGGAGTGCTCTTGAATGCGCAGAGAGGTTAACCTAAACTCATTCGCGTACGTTTCTCGGCCGACTCTGTAGGGGCCAAACAATATAACTAATTATCATCAATTATACCCAAGAGAAAGAATAAGAGAGAGAAAGAGAGAGAAAGAATAAAAAAAAATAGCAACAAGACCTCATTCGAACGAAGATCGCAATCGTTCGTAATTACTTTTTCGATCGTAACTAGTACATCGCAATGTTCCAAATGAAAAAAAAAAAAAAAAAAAGAAAAAGAAAATATAATCATCATACGAGTTCTCATCGTTCGAGAATATCGATCGCATACGATAAGATTCGTAAAAAAATTTTCAAGGTTAGAATCGAAAAATGAACAAATCTTATTGTTCGGTTAGAACGAAGCCAGTAAAAGCGGAACGATAAGAGAATTCAGAAGGATGTACCGGTTTACTTTCTTCGTAAAATAACTCGGCATCGTAAAATCGACGTTCCGGATATTCCTTTTATTCGAAATACTTTGTCCGCGAATCCGGATCGCGTTCCAAGGGAATAAAGAGCCCAAATTCCAGGTAAATCGTTGGACCCTTCCGCGGCTTTTCATATTTTCTCTTTCCTCTTAACGCATACCATCCTGTATAACAGGATGTGCAAAAGGGACGACGAATCGAAAAGCAGCCGTTCGTGAAACAGAAAGACGACTGGTATCGGCAGCATCCAACATCGACGATCCCGTTTCGTTACTCGACTCGTCGAACCCAAAGGTTCGCGTACAATGTCGTCTGTGGCGTCGAGTTCGTGTACTAGAGCGTAGGGTGACGTTGCGGATGATCACCATGGAAACGAAACATGGACCTTCCCTCGAACCTATCTTTCCTACTCTTGTTCCTCTCTCTCCCTCTCTCTCTCTCTGCGTCGTTCAACTCGCACTCTTCGCACACAAAGGACACCCATCGTCTCGAACGACCCTGCGTCCTCTTCGCTTTTCCATCTTTCATTCTCTCTCTTTCTCGCATATACACACATACATAAAAAAGGAAAGCGCTACGCTAGACGCAAGTTCACTCACCGGTACGATCCTCGCTCCTTCACGTCGACGTACTTCCTTCCTTTGAGCGTCGTTCCTTCGAACTTCCTTGTTCTTTTCTCCTCCTTCTTCACCTCGTCCAACTTTGTTTCTTCTTCTTCCTCTTCTTCTTCCTCGGCGTCGCAGCCACCGCTGCTCCCGCCGTTTTCCTCTTCAACTTCGTCTTCGTCGTCTTTGTTTTTATCGTCGTCGTTGTCGTCGTCGTCGTTATTATTGTCGTCGTCGTCGTCGTCGTCAACGTCGCCGTCGTTGTCTTTGTCGTCGTCGTTTTCGTCGTCGTCGTCGTCGTGGTCGTCGTTGCCGTTGTCGCCGGTCGCCTCCACGTTTAAAGCCAGATTTGCAGCGCGCGACGACGTCCCATGCGGGGGCGCCGCTCCTTAATAAACCTTTATACTATCTTGCATACGACTTATATTCGTATTTCTCTCGTCCTTATTTTCTTCATTTCTTTCTTACCAATTAACTTACTCAAGAGTTTACATTTTTAAGAATGTCGATTATATGGGATTTCCCTCGATGACGATAATAACGACGGAAATTAATCTCGTTCCTCGCGAAAGATTCGTCCAGGGCAAAGCACGATAAAGGTGAGAGGGAGAAAAGGTATACGCGAAAGAGTGTGTACGCGTATGCGTGTGTGTGTGTGGTTGTGTGCACGCGCGCGCGTCTATATACTTGCATCTGCAAGTACCAAGCACTTTCTCCGTCTCTTTTTTTTCCATCGACCTTCCATATACTCTCTCGCTCTCACCTATCAACGAGATTGCATGCATTTATTTGTACTTCGTATTTGTTCTCTTTCTCTCTTTCCTACTTCATAGCCTTTTCTTCTTCTTCTTTACACAGTGCCGGAGTAATGATTTTAAATCTCCCAGGCCTTCTTGTACATGCTCCTGATGTAAGGGTTTTTTTTTGAAAGTTACACTACGTACACTTACCTTATCATCATCTTTGTTTCTCTTTTATACATGCATATATAAATATATATATTTTTTTTTATTTCGGTTGACCTAAAGCATACGAGTGATAATATGGATAGAGAAAAGAGAAACAAAGATCTTGTTTATTTCGGATATTCAAAGACGAGTCAGAATTGGACTCGAGTAAGGTCTCGTCTCTCGTAAAATCCAAATGTTCCGTTTGTACGCAATCTATTAATTCTCCCTCTCTCTCTCTCCCCCCCCCCCTCTCGCTCTCCATTGCAGACCACTCCTCCGCTTACCGACAACTCCGTACGTATATCGATTGTTCTCGTGGAAACGACGCGACATGCGGGACCACCATCCCACATTCATTGTCTTGTTGCGTAGAAGGTCTTCCAAATATGCGTGTAATCTATCTATTTCATTTCGCTCGAGGAAATTGATCGGATCGAATCAACGATAAATCGCACTTGCTATTATAAAGCTTTTCGTCGGAAGACTAAGCTTATCTGACTAAGAGTTAGACGCGATCTCCCCGTTTAGATTTTCTTATATTTTATATCTGTTATTAAGCGATAATTATACACATAAGAGACAAAAATGTTATATATATATTAAAATATACACAAAATGTACAACGTAAATCGCATGTCTGCCGTCACGCAATTTGATCGCGCGCTTGCTCGGCGGTAAAAAAATAGGATTTGGAGAAATTGAAAAGTTTAAAATCTAATGCGAAACTCTCTTGATACATACTCCGTCTTTCGACAACGAAGTACAAAGATAGGAAATGGCTTATCACCACAATCTTATTGCGCAATACATGTTCACGATTATCGGAAAACGTAAAATGAGAAATAAATTACATTCATTGAAAGAAAAAGAAAAAAGGAAAACAATAATAAAGGAAAAGGAAAAAAAAAAGAAAAGAAAAGAAAAACGAAAAAAAATTATTTACAATACATACGCTGCTTTCCTCTAACCCTCGATGGTATTTTTATAAATAACGTATGTAAATATACTAATAATACTTCGTATCGACGGAACTATGCTGATGCAATATATGCTCTTTAACGCACGACGATATCGAGAAACAATTAAAAATGATAATTTCTTTTTAATGAACAAAAAATTTTTAAAATTTATCGAAAAATTCATCGAGATGGTCGACAAGATAAATACTGATTTTTATACAATGTAAAATACACAACGATCATTCTCTTATAAATAACAATAATAATTTAAATTACATGTAATATAAAGTAGATATAAAATCAATCAGAAAAGAACAATATATCATATTATATCCTCCAACGTAAAATAACTCGTACATTGGAATTAGTTTGGTGTATGTATATATATAATATATATAATATATATATTAGGGTGTCCCATAAGTTTTTTTCCTTTTTTTTTAATGCGAAATCAAATATGTGAACCATTCTGCTCTATTACCTTCTTCCATCTCTCAGGAAGTCTCATTATGCCCTCTTTCCAAAATTATTGAGACTTACTTGTAAAATATTCATCGAGGTGCGTTTTTATTTCGCTTTCGGATTTGTAACATTTATCACGGAGAGAATTTTTTTAACGAGAGAAACAAGTAATAATCGAATGGAGCAAGGTCTGGGGAGTACGGAGGATGAGGTAGAACGTCCCTATTAAACTGTAAGAGTTTCTGTCTTACGGGCAATGCAACATGCGGTCTTGCGTTGTGATGAAAAACGACACCTCGTCATTTCATCAATTCTGGCCGTTTTTCGGCTATGGCAGCTTTCAATTTATCAAGTTGATTGCAATATTTTGCAGAATTGATCATTTCACCTTGTGGAAAGAGCTCGTAGTATACTACATCTTTCTAGTCCCACCGAATGTACAAAAGAACTTTCTTCGGATGAAGTCTTGGCTTCGTAATAGTTGAAAGTTGATTTTCCTTAGACTAAATGTGCATTTTCGATGCAAATTTTGATATAAAATCCAAATCTCGTCACCAGTGACAAGCCTCTTTAAAAAAGAATTTTTTTCATGTTGCTAAAAAAGCAAATCGCACATAGAGATGCGGTTCATAAGGTCGGTCTCCGTCAATTGGCGTGGAACCCAAACTTCATACCGATTCACATATCCCATCTTGATGACATGATTATGTACCGTTGTCCTGGGAATGTTAGTGGCATCCACTATCTCGCACACACTATATCGCGGATTTTCAGCGAGCATACTCTTGATGAGGTCCGTATCCGTCGTTGTTGGACGGCCGCTGCAGTCTTCATCTTTCAAATCAAAATTACAACTCTAAATTTCTTAAACCAATTGCAGACGGTTCTAATAGTCGTGGTACCACTCCCATAAACGGTGCAAATCTCTTCTCCAGTGTCCTGTGTACTATTACCTTTTTTAAACCAATGAAGCATAACATGCCGCGAATGCTTCTTTTGGCTATCCATATTGAACGGCGTAGAAAAGGATTTTAAAAGAGACAGTCACAAACGAAACGTACTTTGAAAGAGCTGTGAGACGACTGAAATTGATGCCATAAACAGACAATAGATAAACTTACATGTTTAGTAACATAGCCGGTTCGAGGTCATACAGAGCGTGGCGCGGAAAAAACTTATGGGACACCCTAATACATATATATATATACACACACACACACACACGCACACAAATATATATATATATATATATATATATATATATATATATATATATATATCCGAGGAATTTAGCGCTTTTCTTCTTTTCATTAAAGCAAATTAATTCATGTGTTATGCTTTCGAAATTCCTTTGATCTTCGTCTAAAGATTAATTTTGATTTCTGTTATTTGAATTTTTAAATATTCTTTATGCAATACGAAAAAAATAATTAAAAAATAAGGTAAAATGCATCAAAGACTAGTTTAACAAATTCTTGCCATTTCAATGTATCGCTAATGAATAATTATACCATATAATATTGAACTTTAAACGATGATAATTTACTGAAGCGTTACACATATTTTCGTTTCCTTATTTCGAAATAAAAAATAAAATCGTAAAATAAAAATATAAATAATAATACAGTGCTTAGAAAAGTCGTCAAATTTGATTGATAAAATAGAATCGGTTATTCAAAATCTCTACTTAATGCAAAAGAATCAAATAACTGATATCGATAATAAAATAATTTCTCAGCATCGATTTCGATCATCTAGAGATGACTAAGATTTCTTATTAATAAGAACATGAAAAGCAATCTCAAAGAGATTACGTCTATCTATAATTTTAAAACTGACTGATAATCTCGACGAATCTATTCATGCGTTGAACATTCGAACGGAATCGCTACATTGAAAAATTTCTAAGTATATTTTTTTACGATATGAAGACTTTAAATACTTAAGTACGCCATTGTAATATTCATTATCTTATTAGCGTACAATAATAATAAAAAGGGAAATCATTACGTGGCGTTCTGTTACGAGTGGATGCTACCGCTTCTTTTTCATACCTTTGCGATAACCTTTCCCAAACCATCCAGGATTTTTTGCAGATGCCAGTGGCGCGTCGGCGATAACTAATTGCTCCGCTTCCTGTATATGTTCATTTTCCGTTTCTAATGATACGGGATCGTCTCCGTCGCGCTGATAATAGAGGCAAGTAAGGGACCCTTCGTGTTCCATACAAAACGAACAGGCTGCTTTAGGTTTTGGTGTCTCTGTCGTAACATTGGGTATTTGTATGAATGGATAATAAAATAATGGAGTTAATTGAGGATACATGTACATAGGAGGGAAAGGTAATCCCATAGATAAAAAAGGCAATGCAGTAAAGAAAGGTGCAGAATAGGCAGTCACAGAATCGGTTACGCTTATAGGAGTGATACAGTCTTCGGTTTCTTTAGTTTCTGGTACGGCATCCTCGATAGATTGTTCGGTACTTTGGCGCGGGGACTTTTTTACAGTCGCTGCTACAGGCTCCTCCAAGCATGGCTGGGTCGTCGTCGGTAATTCACTGGTCTGCAGTCTTATAGCATGAAAAAATATCGGATCTTTTGAACGATTGTATTGCGGAATATCCAATCCTAAGTGAGCCATGATCTTTTTCATAACTTCGTCACACTTTCCATTTATCTTCAAAACAGCGTTCTCGTCTTTCGGAGTCCATTGTAAATTAACGATATACAATGAAGGACGTTTGTGTACTGGTCTATCCATTTGCCATAGCCACGGATATTTTTTCAAAACTTTAAGACTAGAACCCAAACATAATATCACGTCGGCTTGTTTGGCTGCCCGTGTAGCACCATTCCAATTAATTGGCCATGGCAAATTTCCTCTTTCGCCAAAATGTACTATAGAATCTTGCAAAATTGAATTACATTTGTGGCATAATCTGCCTGTTCCGTGCGAATATCTAGCTGTTTTTTCCGTAACGTCAAAAATCCTCCAATATTCTCTAGATGGTTTACAAGTTCTACATACTTCTACGTACATATTTCCATGAACTTCGGATAAAAGGGTACGAGGTATACCACTGCGCAAATGAAGTCCATCACAATTCTGCGATACTATGTGTTTCAATACACGTGCCTTATATAAAGCGTACAAAGCCATATGCGTTAACGTTGGCTCGGCCTGACTCAAGTCATGATTCCTATAAATGATCGAGCAACCATAGAATATAAATGTTATTGGTATACAATCTATTATCTCGTAGTATATCGTTTGGAAATAACTTTACCCGATATCCTTTCCCTGTTGCATCCTGGTCCATACGCCGTTTGTTCCTCTGTAATCAGGAATAGATGCCGCTGTACTAATACCAGCGCCAGTGTACACGGCAAGAGAAGTAGCTCTGCTAATAGCAGCAGCCAATCTAATACATTTTTCTTCCAAAATCTCTGGTACATCCTCAATTTCTTCCAATCTTGCTTTAACCCTATCCCTTTTTTCTTGTCTACAAAATTAGGTAAAGATTCTATTAGAAATTGTACCAATATAAATATATCCACATATTATATATTCATTTATATATCCATTTATATGTATATATATATATATATTCATTTATAATATATTCATTTATATATCCACATATCCATACAACATTTTCACAATATTACTTCCTTCTGTCATTTATTTCACTTGAGCTCAGAGTCTTTACTTAATATAAAACTACGCTAAAATACAAGAAATATGAGTTTATAATAACGCCATAACTTCGTCCAATTAAAAGAAAATACTTTATGCCATAATTAGATATATCAACGCAATCGAGATTTTACAAAATGGCCATACCTTAAATTAACCTCCTTCACTACGTCACTACAAGAGACGAGTATATCCACTTCCTCCGGCGTTCTGTCAATTTCAGGTTTTTGCAGAATCGCAGCCACCTAAAACTGACGCCTGTCATTCTTTGCAGTGATTTGTTTACAACACTTCGATTTGAAAGGAGCAGCCGGGCGAATGAATAATATTCGAAAAACAATTTTAAAAAATAATGCGATACTCGATACACGATGTAAAATATAAAATGTACCTTTTTGAAAGTAGCGACTCGTTCATCCTTCACTTTAAAAGATTTAATTACAGCGGAACGTCTTCTCGACAAGAACTTCTCGTTACTCGGCTCCTCCATCTTTAATCAAAAGGTGCGTAACAGTGCTGTATCAAGGTGTCTGGAGGCCCACGTAATTGGACTTAAACAGTGATTGTTAAAAAATAAATTAATTACATTGTTGTCGGACTTTTTATAATCATTATTATTAAATCAATGACATTAAGACGAATTACTAACGATAAAATTCAACCAACCATAAACAAGTTACTTCATAAAAATGTTCCCAAATAAAGATCTGATTAAATGTATTTTTTTTTTTTTTTTATTGCACGATTAATGATAAATTCTGAAATTTATATGAAAATTAATTGGCAATATAAAATATGGTCATTTAAATAATATCTAAATTAAAAAGCAAAGAATTTATCCTTCGAGTAATTAGCATTGCGACATAAGTAAGCGAATACGTAATTGTCAAGTATCAATAGGATTAATGATATATCGATTAATAGAAATATTTAATAACGTACGTTAAAAATGATGAAAAATTGTAATAACAAAATCTACGAGGAAGAAGTGAATAAAAGTTTAAAAGATAAAACACGAGGCACGATAGAATTTAAATTTCCTCCTCGTTGTGATTTTTAGTCACCGTGCCTGACAAACGAAAACAACTCTCGACAAGAGAGAAACTATATTTATTGTACCGACTACGTCCCTTTCTGTGCATCGCATTAAAAATTGGATGTACACCAATCACTCGATAATTATGTTGAAAATAAAATATAATTAATAAGAATTTAGTTTGTTAGTAATGCCAGGTTTAGAAGGAAGTATTTCGCTCGATACGAGTCCACCCACGCACGGCCTAATGTCCGATGGAATCGCTTCTGAACAAGTAAAAAAATTTCTCTTCCGATCGCGAAAAATACACGAGAGTGTACAGAACGACGAAAGTTTAGAAATTTATATACCAGAGGTAAGAAATTCCTTTTCCAATTTGAATTTCTATCGATATTATATCGATAATATCAATAAATTTCTTTTTCGCTACCGGTATTACGTACTTTGTTTGGTTAGAACGGTACGGTGATAACTTTATACAAATCTCTTTTTATAATCGATCCAATTGAAATAATATCTAATTAAAAATGAAATAATATAATCTTTCTAATATCACCTTATCCATATTTAATTTTTTTTTTATAATTAGACGTTATTTTATTTCATTACAGTTACTGCAAGCAAATTACAGTTATTACACTTGGCCTTCTGCACCGGTTCTTGCCTGGTTTTTGTGGGAGCATAGAGAGGAGCTCATCGGAAAGAGAGTTTTAGAATTGGGTTCTGGTACTGCTCTTCCTGGTATTTTGGCCAGTAAATGTGGCGCTGTTGTAACTTTAAGCGACTCTGCCAATTTGCCAAGAAGCTTGCAACATATTAAAAGGAGCTGCGAATTAAATGGCATTTTATCTCAAGTTAGAATAGTCGGAATTACCTGGGGTTTATTTCTCTCCAGTTTATTTACCATTGGTCCGTTGGATTTAATTCTTGGATCTGACTGTTTTTATGAACCAACTTTATTCGAAGATATTGTTGTCACCGTAGCCTTTCTGTTAGAAAAGAATCCAAATGCAAAATTTCTATGTACTTACCAAGAGCGTAGCGCCGATTGGTCTATCGAACATTTATTAACCAAGTGGGGTCTTACGTGTAATCAAATATCACTTTCTACTCTTGGTACAGATTCTGATATTAATATACATGAATTGATGCAAGATCACACTATCCACCTGCTAGATATACAAAAAGCTACTTGAGTTATTTTTTAATATCATGGGTAATGTACGTAAAATATATAAGATATTTGTTTATAACTTGCCATGGACTGTAAGTAAACATGAACTTAAAGAATATTTCAATAAATATGGTTATATACATGAGGCGGTTGTAACTTTTAACAGGAAAACGGGGCTTAGTAAGGGATACGGCTTTATCCAATTTATTGATAAATCAGCATATGATAAAGTATTACAGCAACCGCACCATATGATAGATGATTACATTGTAAAAGTGAAAGAATACAAATTTTGATTAAAAGAAATTGAAGAAATTCATTATTACATATCCATCGATCATGGCTGAAATTAGTGATTTCGTTGTAACAGATCTAGAAAAAACATTTGAAAAAGCAACAAAATATGTACAAACCATAGCATCAGAATTAGATTCTCAACAGTTACTTAATTTATATAGTCTGTACAAACAAGCTACCATTGGCCCTTGCAACATTTTCAAACCAAATTGGTATCAAGTGCAGGCTAAGCAAAAATGGGAAGCATGGAAAAGTCTTGGTGAAATGGATCAGGAAGCTGCAATGAACAATTATATATGTACGTTAAACAAAATAAATCCTACTTGGGAAACAGATGTAGCAACAGAATCACGTGCATGGACCACAGTTAGTAGGTTGCCTAATACAGAAAGAGAGTTACTTGATACGGATAAAACATTTCTTGATTGGGTCAAAGAAGGTCATAAAGAAAAAGTACAAGAAATTTTATTAACAAATTCTACATTGACAAATATATTGGACGAAGATGGTTTGTTACCTATACACTGGGCAGCAGATCGTGGACATGTTGCGATCATTGAATACTTGATTCAACACGGTGCAAATGTTAACTCCAAAGATATCGATGGTCAAACACCTTTACATTATGCGGCATCATGTGGACATATAGATGTGATCAAATATTTACTTTCCATGGGGGCTGAGTCTATAGAAGATAATGATGGTATGAAACCAAAAGATATTGCAGATGAAAAAGTGGTAGCTATTCTTTAATAAAATGATTATGTGTATTAGTAAATTGTACTGTAGTAATGATTATGTTCTTTAATTATATGAATAAATTTAACGTGTTAATAATATTATTTTGGTAACTTTTATATTGTTTATTATTATTTTCTTTGTTATTATTATTATTATTATTATTATTATTATTATTATCGTCACAATTATACTCCGATTATTTTGATAAGGAAACTTTTTATTTATATACAAATAAATCCTTTAATAATCCATTACATTCACAGCCTAAGCACTCCTTAGGTAAATGCATGATTTGTCATTTGCGTTACTTCCATAACAATCTTATAATAAAAAAACTGATTACATATCGTGTTTGAAACTTAGAAATACACTTTTTACGTAGTAAGGATTCAAATATGTCTTTGAGAGAATACAAGACCACCTGCCGTTCGCGTTAATGCATTAAATATCATTTAATTGTAAAAGCAATATTTTCGTTCGTAATGCAAAAAAATATTACGTATACTCTCACAATCATTTGAAATATCAATTAATAATTATAGAATAAAATAACTTTAGGAAATGAAAGAAATATTATAAGAATTGAACTTTTTACAAGATTTTAAGATAATCCTTCTAGTAATTTAAATAATATAAAAACATCATGTTACAATTTATAACAAATAATACTTATTTCATTGTCAAATGTACATTATCACATTTGCTGAATAATTATTTACTGTATATGATATAATGCGATATAACAACATAAAAATTTTTTTATTAAAGGAGCATATATATTTAAACATATGTACTATAATCCAATTGCACTTAAGTTTTATACAAGTTTCTCAAAATAAAGCTAATAATGATTTTCAATATTTTTGAAAGAATACATATTTTTTGTGCACAGATATTAAAGTTTTTTTGTGAAATAACAAGAAAATAACTGCTCGTTTACAATACTCTCCGAGAAAATCTAACATTCTCATAGATTATTTAAAAAATAGAATATTATACAATACAACCATCCATTGTTTTTTTTTTTTTATTTTTTCTTTTCTTTTCTTTTTTTTTTTTTTTAATCATTCCATGATCACAATCTAAAAATGCAAATAAGTTAAGGTACAAGATGTTATTGTATATATGCTTAACTCAAGTATAAGCTGTATGCACTTGTAATATACATACGACGTATACTTTAAACACGGTCATTTCGTTATACATATCACTCAATTCCAATCGAAGTATTCGAACGTTTGTTAAACTTCCTTTTTATATGGACGTATCGTTCATAAAATTGTGTTAAAAGTAATAATATTATCAAATAGCTATAACTTTAATATTTTACCTAAAGTGCACACTGCATTTTGTGCGCTTAGATACGCGCGTTTGAAAGGAGATCGAATTTTTAATTATTTTCCTTATGTTTATGCTAATTTTCAATTTATATTTGACTTCTTAACAAAATGTATAAAATTTGATAAGCCATAAAAAAATATCAGCTTAGATATGCAAATCAGGTATAATATTTTTTTCTTTTTTTTTTTCCTTTTTTCTTTTTTCTTTTTTTCTTTTTTTCTTTTCTTTTCTTTTTTTTATTTTTTTTTATTTTTTTTTTTTTTTTTTTTTTTATTTTTTTTTAAGAGTTATGCGTTACATAAACATTTCGTTTAAAGTTCATAGAAAGTTTTTTTAATCACATACAGCGTAGTGCTATGTGAAAACACTTTTCATTACGTACAAAGTATCGATGACGCATTAATTGCTTATCGATAATTATATAGACCATTTTGTGTAGAATTTTTAGAGATTGGTACTCTCCTGTTCAGATTTAGGCCGAGTCGAAGGAGGCGGAGGTGGTGGCGGTTGTGGCCTAGGAGGCCTTTGATGAAATCTTGGAGATGCTGGAACAGGTTGTTGTGGTGACTTAAGCACAACTACAGTCTCTGTTTGTGTTTGAACATCAATAATGTTGCCTTCAGATTTAGTCCTTGCATGTGCCTTTGCCTGATCTGGGACATCTGGTCTTGCAGGTTTCTCTGGTCGTTCACCATACAAAGACATAGACGAAGGTCGACTACCCACACTAGGACTTCTCTGCAAGTTCGAAGCTGTGTTGCCATTGCTCTCCCCTGGATTGCAGAACACATTGCCATTTCCACGCACTTGTATTATACTGACCTGTTGCTTGTCCACAGAGTACATGTGTGCCCTTTCCAAAGTAAGGGGCTGCAGATTTATTAAAATTAAGTTTTAATGTTATTAAACACGTTTATCACATTCAAACACAAGATAAATATCATATATTGTAAAAATAATATTCATAGCTTATATTCCATTTAATACTCATTCATTACAAATTGTATAAAACTGAAAGCAATATTATTTATATAGCTTACATATTTCTATTTCACAATATCCAGGTTGCAATACTTGTTATGGATTCGCATAGTAAGTACATTATTACAGAAAAATGGCAAATTTTGTCCACCAAATTAACCATTCTATCTAAAGAATTTAAATAATATATTTGACTTAAAATACGCCTATACCTGTAGTATCTTTATCGGATAAAAATACATTTGATGAATCAAATCTGTTCCCTGTTAATAAATATACAGGAATAATATATGTTACATGTAAATACTTACTCCAGACTCGGTGTCTAAATTTTCATTACTTTGACGCGGCTGCTGTCTTATGAGGCTTGACGGACGAACCAAACCAGCAGGCCGTTCTGGAATTGCTGGTTTACTACCCCTGTCTCCTGTATTTAAATTCGTTATACTGTTGCTATCAGACTTCTTACGTAATTCGACTGTATCATCTATAAGAATTTTATCCATTAAATGACACTATTCCAATAAAAAAGGAAATATTGTATTAATTTTTTCCAAATAATCTGACCTGCATTATGCGTTATGTTTGTAATATTTCTAGGAGCAGCAACTGGCCTTCTCCTTTCTAATGTAGATGGAGCAGGTTTTTCTGTTGGTAATGGCTTAGGTCTTGGCGAAGAAACATCCGAATTGTCAATATCTATAGGTGACTTGTTTTGAATGTTTTCTACACTACTTATGGTTTTATCAAGAGAAACAGGAACATTTCTTTTTTCAGACTTTTGCAACTCCGCATTTAATGTATCTAGTTTATATTTTTCTGTATCAATATTATTCTTAGCCAATTCAGATTGTGAAGTATTCATTTCAGAAATATTTTCGCAGTTGTCTGCAGGTTGAATATCTACCTGAGCTATTATTCCTTCAAAACCTATATGTTTTATTTCTATATCTGAATTTTTGTCAACTTTTTCTATATTATTTTCATGTCTAGTCAGCAATTCTGTATTTACTTCATGCTTTTGTGCCTTGTATGTTGCCCGGTTAAGTGTAGCTGACATTAAAGGTCTGGGTGGCTTATCTGGAGCTGGAGGCGGTTTATCATCACACTTTTTATCATTTTTATCAGGTGTTGTACCACTTGGTGGCGTTGGTGCTGGCTTATTTTTTCGACGAGCCGCAGGCTTTGGACTGCCTTGGGGTGGACTTTCACCATGATCGCTCAGACTACTGTTCGAAACACAACGACGCATACCAATCACTTGAGGTTCCGAGCCATTGACTATTCCAATTTCTAAGTCACGATCAAAATCTATTTCACCTGGGAAGAACCAATCTGCATATGTTATCAACTGATCCACAATAAGACTAGAGATACTTGTAGTACTCATATTCATTCTGAAATAATACGATTGTGTGTGTGTATATATACATATACATATACATATACATATATATATATATATAATAGATTGATTACGAATTAAAAATATCATATGAAACATATAAATATAAAATAAATGAGTACTTACACTATTGTATTTACATCTTCTTGTGGACTCCAAATCAAGTTAGGACCTATTACGATTGCTATGTTTTGAGGTGACATTTTATTTATATCCTGGTTTTTGCTCAATACTGCTAAGAATTTAATTAGGAATCGCAAATTTTCTAAGTTTGCAGACGGAAGCTTATGCAGTACTTCCCAGAGCGCACGTAATCTAACTTCATTTTGTGTTATTTTAGCAGCAGCCATCCATTCTGGGTACAATCTTTTAAGAAAATAATAAAACAACGATTATAATAAACTGTTATAAATAGAACATCCTATATTATAATAATCATATTTACTTAAATGTTAATAAAGGTTCTGGAAGTTCACGTAAATAAGACTTCAATGCACCAGCAATAACATGAGGATCCTTGTATTCTAAAGCTGTTGATAAAGTCAAACAGCATGCATCTAAACTTAGCTTAATTCTACGAGATTTAGATGCAGCACCGGCTACTCTAAATAAACCCTCTTCTTCCATTCCTAAACGCAGTAATGCGGATACGCATAATTGTATAGGTAATGCTATTTTCCTATTCGTTACTCTAAGATGTTCTTCAAGAGGATAACCATAAACAGGTTTCATTTCATTATTATCTGTAAAATGTAAGATAAGTATTAATGTAAAAGAATAAAATATAATATTACTAGTTCCAAATTCAAAAACTATATACTAACTGATATAACTTTCTAATCCAGGAATAAGATCTTCAAGAGAGTGTAAAGCACTTTCATGATATGCTCTTTGCAATTTGACATATTGTATGATAGTCTGCGCTAGTTCTGTTTCTCTCGACATTAATTGAAACATTTCTGCAGCTAGTTGATCCCTGCATTGCTCGACTTTAGACTCAGCCTCTTCTAAATCTTCTCTTAAGCTATCTGCTTTTGTTGCACCAGTTCCTACATATATGTAATGTAAATACATATGTAATATAATATAATATTCTTTTCATTTATTATTACTCCAGTATTGTAGGAAAACTTTTTCTTTTTATATTTTGCAATTAACTATTTACGAACGACTATTTTATCGATATTTGAATATTGTTACTTAAAAAATATATTCATTACCAGCATTATGCTTGCTAGCTTGTTGATAGCGCGTTTTTGCACTGTCCATGTCCAAAATTAATCGTGCCAAATTTCTCTTATGCTTCAATATATTTGGAATGTCAGTATCTAAAATATGCTGTAATGGAGCTGCAACATATTGTTCTACCTTTGCTTCATGTTCAACCGTTTCATTAGCTAATGACATTTGTGCCCTTCCACATTCTAAAAGAGTAAAACCCATCAGACCATCCTCTGTTGCATTTTCCAACATCGTTTGTCCAAGTATATACTCGGGACATTTTTTCTAAAATAAATATACAAATTTTTATATACAATTACGTAATTATAAAATTAGTATAAATAATAAATAAATTCTATGTTATATGCTCTATGTGTTATAATATATCATAATGGATTACAAAGTAATGCATATAATTTGTCATATAAGTAAATGCAATAAGATTTTTCTTGATATTAATTAATCAATATTTACCAAACGTTTCTCCTTAAATGCAGGTTCCTGTGTAAATGCTTGATTAGGTTGATTACCAAGTCTTTTACTTAAGCCAGTAAGAGCTGCTCTAATCTGCTCTACATGTTTGTCTGCAGCTTGCAAATCATCCGTGAGCACTTCTGTTTTGCCAGCTCTATTTAAAAGGAAAAAAAAAAAAAAAAAAAAAAAAAAAACAAATTAATAAAAGAATATAAATGAAAGATGATATAATAAATGATCAATGTATATGACGTTAATACATTAGTCTGTCTAAAGAGAAGAAGCTTAAACAGGAATAACTACTTTTGGAATATCCTGACTCATGGTTTATTTTAGTACATGCTCTTCAATTTTCCTTTTCTTGTCTGTCAATAACCTTTGAACGTACAATATCAATAAGACTAATACACAATATCTCATTGATAACTATTATAAAATCAATAAAAAAGAATTTAGAAAAAAAAAAGAAAAGGACAAAGGAAAAAGAACAGAAATGCATAAAATTACTTTAACATTAGTTTTTAATAAACGGACAAACTATAACATTTTTCGTTGAGAGAAAAGTATATAATGAAATTTGAAAGTACGTTTTCGTCCAAAAAGAAAAACAAAAAAAAAATCGAGAGAAAAAAAATATACTGCTTCGATTTCAAGGTAAATCAATCGAAAGAGTTTGCCCTTTTAAATGTAATCGTAAAGTACGATTTACCTAGAAAAAGTTTGATCGGCGAGCTGTTTCACCCTGAAAAACTGTTTCTTCATGGTCGCTGATCGGTCGACACTCGAGGTGAAATCGTAGCGAGAACACTTCCGTCGAAAAAGTGATCGACTGTTTAAAACCTTTTCACTTTTGAACCAAGGATAATATTTTCGAATTTAGCTCGGTTCACGTACGTTCATCTCTTGTTTTCTTATTCTCCGATACACGGGACGATAATGTTTGAAGACAAGGGAAAAGGAAGGGACGATCCTTCGTATTGCAACAAGGGCGACCGTCCGTCATAATGTTTCGACTATGATCTCACACCCCGTGCGTAAGGCGCACACAATTTTGATCGGTCTATTCTTACGCAGCATCGACGCGATAACCTCGCCGCACTATGAACGGTAAAGACAAACAAGACTACAATAGAATTACACACGACCATGCACTTTCTTACGTTTTTACGTATTCTATTATATGATTGGCGCTCTTGTTACAGCCAAAACTTGTTACGATTATGAACGACAAGACAAACGCACCGCATTGTAAATCCTTCTCACTCTCACGGACTTCTCTTGTCGACGACAAACGACGACGACGACGACGACGACGATGCACGCAAGTAATCGACTGAACATTGCCGCGCCCTGTGTGCCTCTTCACGATTGCCACCAATTGCCATTAATACATGTTGAATGCCGCTTTCTTTTACAACGACTTCAGGCTCTTCCAAGAATCGAGATAGCAAAGTGGCGGAAAATTCAATTTTTACATACTATCCTAAGGACGATACTATTCTTACTTTTAATATTTCATTATTTTCATTTAATCTTATAATTATATATATTTAACATTTTTTCACACACACACACACACACACACACACACACACACACACTTATATATATGTAGTATTAAATAAAATGTTTAAAAATATTACTAACCCATTCACAAAAATTAACTCCTTTCGAAATTGAAATATTTTATTCTTCACAAAGATAAACGGTACAAGAAAGAAAATATACGTAGAAGAAAAATGATACGAGAGACATTATTACAGATGAAGAAGAGAATAAGTGATAATAAATAAAACGTTTCCGGCAATTTAGCTAAATCAAAGCTGTCTACATATAAAGAGATAATAGGGAGTAAGAGAGAATAATAATATACATGAGAATTCACCAAAGCGAAAAATTCTTCGTTGCGTATGTTGTTGAAAATGTTTTCACAAACAATGTTCTATTAATTTATGATTCTAATTAAAACGTACCAAGCGCGATGTAAATGACGCAATAAGTATCAGAAGGGTTAATCTTATATAAGATATACTGCGAAGCTCTGTAACCATTTGATGTTATTGACATGTCAAGTTAAATTACATATACAAATTGTTTGTAAATATCAACCGAGTTAATATTAAAAAAAAGAGAGAGAAAAAAAAGAAAATAGATAAAACTGATTTTAATTCTGCATCTGCAAAGTTAGATGGCGTAACATTAATGTGTTTATTCAAGTTGAACTTTCATACATACTAATGCGAACTTTTAGATTATTTCATACATATTAACGCGTACAATTATGGACAAATTGATTAATTATTTTTTAATCAATCTTCCTATAATTATATTTTCCTTGAATATTATCACAATAAACTATTCGTCATATTAATAAAGACGCATATATATATATATATATATATATATATATATATATATATGCACAAACAAAATTAATAATATATAATAATTAATAATAGTAATTAATAATATACAGTAATTTCCTATCGAAATAAAATATAAAGAAAGACAACTTATATATTTATACAAATTTACATTCTTACTATCGATTTAATATAATTGTGTATATCGATACAGTTAATTGATTAAAATTATATTAGCTTGGTATACTTAACAAGCATTAGGCAGCTTATGTTATATTATATATATATACATACATACATACATACATATATATATATATATATATATATATATATATATAATTCAATAAAAATAGTATGTTTTATAACTATCTGACGTATTTATTTTGACGAATTTATTTCTTTAATATCACACGCACTCGTTATAAGAAAACTATTGTGGATTTATATCAAATGAGGCATTTTGACATTGTCCTTTTTTTCAAATTAGTATTATTAATAATTTTCAATAACATCTACACATAAATTAAATGAATAAGTAAGCAACATTGTAATGATGTACACTGCATATTTGCGCATTTCTTTAAAAAATGGACAAAATGTATTATTTCGAAAATATATATAAATAGATGTAAAAAATAAATTCAATATACATGTAAAATATATGTAACTATTATATTATTTCACACATTCTATTATGTTGTAGTATAAGAAATAATTAATAAAAACAATTTCATAAATCATAAAATGAACTAAAACAACATAAAGTAATAAAGAAATTTGTACACTTGATCGTGCACGCGCGTATATGTATATATGCAACGCACATGCTATACATGTATAATACATATATATATATATATGTATGTGTGTGTGTGTGTGTGTATATATATATATATATTCTATATATATATTCTATATATATATATATAGATCTATATAATATATATATATATATTCTAATGGTATGTTTTGAATTTAATCTCCAGTTAAATAAGCATGTGCTACGTTATTCATAGAACAAATCAATATATACCACACGTGTAAGTTCATATATTGACACGTGTGTAACACATAACTTAACTTTTAATACTGAATCACAGAACCCTGCTAAAGAGTAAACAATAAATTATATCCATACTTATCTTCATATGTTAATCTATTAAAGAAATTGTGCCTGTCTTAAAAAAGAAAAGATAAAGTTCGCCATTTATAAAATAGAACACGTCATTAAATAGAACTCTCTTCAAAGTAATAATAAGTTTTAAAATAATAAGTAATAATAATAGTTTTTTTTTCTCTTTTCAAGTTATCCCAAAATGATTTTATAAATTTACTTAATAAATTGATTTAATTGCTTAAAGCGTCACTTTTTAAATAGTATATAATAAAAGTGATTTGAGAAGTTATTACTACAGATATTACTTTCAAACGTTCTTCGAAACCATTTGACAATATTTGAACAGATATCAGTAATGATTTTGCTGATATATAAATTTTATATTCATTACTAAAATTATGAAATTGCGGGAATCTCAAAATTGACACTAAGATTTTCGGACTGTGCTAGTTTAACAATGGTCGATAATTTTACTGCGACACGAGCAGCTTCATCGAGGTCATCAATTGGAACGATTTTTAATCCTGCATTTGCAATCAAAGCTTTAGCCTCGTCAACATTGGTTCCCTGTAATTATACAAATTTATATTGTACATAATTAAGAGATATTTAAGAGAAAAATATTATTAAGTGTTAAAATGTTCTACCTGCAATCGAACAACAACAGGAATTTTAAGACTAAGTTCCTTCGTTGCAGCAATAATACCCTCCGCGATAACATCACATCTCATAATACCACCAAAAATATTAACTAAAAGAGCATGTACCTGTAAATTATAAAAGCATAGAATATTAAATATTATCTGAAAACAAAGATAATTTGATACAAAGGTAATTTATATAAATTATGTTAGGTTACTCTTGAATCAGAAGTGATGATTTTAAATGCCTCTTTTACGGCACTGGTAGTTGCACCACCGCCAACGTCAAGAAAATTAGCAGGTTCGCCTCCATGTAATTTAATAATATCCATAGTAGCCATAGCTAATCCAGCTCCATTAACCATACAACCAATATTTCCATCAAGTGCAATGTAATTCAAATCAAATTTGGCTGCTTCTACTTCTTTAGAATCTTCCTGAGTCCAATCTCTTAATTCAAATAATTGTTTTTGTCTGAATTCGGCATTATCATCGAATCTACATTTGCAATCTAACGCAAAATCTAAAATTTACAAATAAACTGATGTTAATATAATCAATAATAATATAATGGTAATACTATCGATAAAATTACTTACAATTTCCATTAATATCTTCAGCAAGAGGATTTACTTCTAAAAGAAGAGCATCCTTCTTAAGAAACATTTGATAAAGATTCATGATAATTTTGGAAATATAATCTTTTACATTTTGAAGACCAAGTTTTGTGACAATACGCTCTGCTTGCTCCTTGGTTATACCTTTATTAATATCAATGGGTTCATACATTATGGCACTAGGATTTGTTGCAGCTACTTCCTCAATATTTACTCCACCTTGGCTAGATGCTATTATAACAGGACCCTGGGTCATAAATAAAATTTAGTTTCTTAATAGAAATTTATATATGTGAATAAAAATAATACTTTAAAACTCTGATTACTTACACCAAAGGCACGTTCCATCATCACTGCTAAATAATATTCTTTACGAGGGAACATACGTTGTGTTACCATAACAGCATTACATATTCTACCTCCTTCGCCAGTTTGTTTTGTAATTAGTAATTTACCTAACATTTGACTTGCTAATGCTTTTGCTTCTTCTGGTCTATCAATGAAATGGAAATGTTTGAAATGTAAAAAAAAAAAAAAATAATAATAATAATAATAATAATAATAATAACAATAGTTTCTTTATCGATTTAAATAATATTATGTTATTAAAATTAAAAATAAAGAACTTACGTTTCGCACATCTTTACACCACTAATATTGGAATCTTTAAAGTGTCCTTTACCTCTACCTCCTGCAAGTACTTGAGCTTTTAAGACAATATCTTTTGTTTTCAAGTCAGCTGCAAGTTTTCCTGCTTCATCTGGCGTTTTTGCAACACCAAATTTCGGTGTAGGTACACCAGCTTCATTAAGTAAACTATAACTGATGTGTTCATGTACATTTAGATTTCTTATTGTTTGTTTCAAATTACTTTTGCAGGCTAAAATCTGTAAAATAAGTAAATTTTTAATAAATATTAAATATTAAATATATCATCTGACATATAAATAATAATTACACAATATTATGTTAAAACTGTTTTCTCTAATAGAGTACAACTATTTCACATAATAGTGATTATTAATGATTTTAAATTAAGCTATAAATATATTATGCAACATTTAAATATAAATGCATATACAAAAAATAATTGACATTGAACTACTATCATTTTCTTTTTGCAAAACTTGGCACAGACTTTCTCTTATCGAGTACAAATAAAATACATGACCTTTTTTAATCTACAATTCATGATAAAATAGTAAATAGTCATATATATATATATATTATATAATTATATACATATAATTATATAATATATAAAATTTATATATACATATATAATACATATAATATGTTAAAAAAATTCTATTGAATACGTAAAAATAAATGAACATCAATATATCGAAATAATAAAATTTTTACGTTCGAAATTTAAATTAGAAATGTAGAAAACCGTGGATTATTATTCCGTCGAAAGTAATTCAATTATATTTAAGTAAATGCGCAAGAAACTTGACCTTGATAATAAAAAGATAAAAAAAAGAATGCGGAAGATAATATGCGATAATTATATAACTGTCATTATAGTTTCTTCAAGAAAAACAGATTTTACGTGAGACCGACACCCTTGGCTTCAAATCAGTTGACCCTGGCGCCTAATTTAGCAGACTACATCACCTAATATGGACGATCGCCTCTCTTTTACATGTCCTTATAATCTTTACACGTAAGAAAATATTAAAGCTTTAATCTTTCTTAAATATATTCTACCTTCCAAAATGATATTAATCTTTTATTTATCGTTTTAACGTACCTTGGAACCATTTAATCGGGTAAGACACTCTGCGAGTGAAATCGTTCGAAACAACATTGTAGCCATCTTGGTAAAGTGTTGGCAATAGACTGCCACCAAATGCTGGTTTCGCCATTGTGTCCCCGCCTTTCTTGACGTTTCTTTCTGAAACATGACGTAAACCAATATATATCATCATTATAAGGAATTTTTCAATAATTTGCACTGACTTGTGATCACATTTACTTATTACATTACTCTATAGGTAAATAAATAAACAATTTTTTATATGTTTTTCATTAAAAAGAAAATAAATTTCATTTTATTAAATTTGTACATTTACAATGTAGGTTACTTCATTCGATAAATTTTTAATCTTTTTTTCTAACAAAATATGACATTTTTATTATTGATTTTTATTGCCACAAGTAATTGTATAAATCAAATTTATATTTTGTGTAGAAGCCACTAAATAATTTATTTCCTTATTTTTTTATATTTATTATCTTATTTCTTTGAATTTGTCAACACTTTTCTTTCTTATTTTTTGCTCCATTTGATTTTAATACAAAATTAACATCTAGATTTAAAGATCTTGCAAGACTTATAATAGTTGCAAATTTGGTGATTGATTCACCTGCTTTTTCAAAATCATCTATAAAGATAAGTTTCAATTTTGATTCAGATATTAATTTTTTTGCTTTCTCCACATTAGTTCCCTGGATACAATAATTCAATTAGTATTTATATACTATTTATATTCTCACTCTTATATTTATTCTTTATCATTACCTCCAACCTGATGATTATAGGAATAGTTGTTTGCAATTCTTTAGTAGCTGCGATGATTCCTTCTGCAATGATATCACATCTCATAATACCACCAAATATATTAACAAAAATGGCTAAAACCTAAGGATATAGAATTTTTATAATTTAATATGTCGGTTTATTATCTATTTTTTATTTTTTATTTAAATACAATACACCGTCTTATAAGATTTATTATTTTTCTCCATACCTTTGGATCTGTAGTTATTATTGTAAATGCTTCTATAATAGTCTCTTTTGTGGCACTACCACCTACGTCTAAAAAATTAGCTGGTCTAACACCATAGAAAGATATAAGATCCATTGTTGCCATTGCTAAACCTGCACCATTTACCATACAACCAACAATTCCATCTAATTGAATATAATTTAAGTCAAACTTTTTTGCTCGTGCCTCATTGGGATCTTTTTGAGACCAATCTTCCAAAGCAAATAATTTTTTCTGTCTAAACTTAGAACTATCATCAAAATTACATTTGCAATCTAAAGCATAATCTGAAAAAATATTAAATTAAATTTTAATTTGTTTACATTCTTTTCATAAGTTAATCATTACTTACATTCACCGCAAATATCTTCTGCAAGTGGATTAATTTCAATTAATAGAGCATCTGTTTCAAGAAATAATTCATAAAGATTACAAATAATAAGCGACACAATATCTTTGCCTTTTCCTTTAACACCCAATTTCTGAATAATACAATTTATCTGTTCTGATGTTAGGCCTTTAATTATGTCAACTGGTACATAAAGGAGAGCTTCAGGATCAGTAGCAGCAATTTCTTCAATATTTACTCCACCTTTACTAGATGCTATCACAACAATTCCCTACGAATAACTTTTGTATGAATTAATAATAAATAAAAGTAGACAATTTATTTTATTTAAATAATGTATTTTCTTTTGATTATTTATTTTTACAATTAACTTAATTATAGACTTACATTAAAAGTACGCTCCAACATTATTGAAAGATAATATTCTTTTCGTGGAAACATGCGTGTTGTCACCATCACTGAATTACAAATTCTTCCAGCAGCTCCTGTTTGTTTAGTAATCAATAATTTTCCAATCATAATTTCTGATATTTGCTTTACTTTCTCAGCACTAATGGTAATAAAAAGATATCAGCAGTGGCAATAAAGTAATTATTATTACTTATTTATATAATGTCTTGGTGTTGTAACTGGAGAAATACTTACGATTCACACATAACAACGCCACTAACATCAGTATTTTGAAAATGACCCTTCCCTCTGCCACCAGTAAGTACTTGTGCTTTTACAACTAAATCTTGTGACTTTAGTTCAGTAGCTATTTTAGCAGCTTCATCAGGTGTTTTAGCCACTCCAAATGGTGGTGTTGGAATTCCAGCTTCTTTTAAAAGACTATATGCAATATTTTCATGAAGATTCAAATATCGTAATTGTTCTTTTATTATTAGCTGGTTTTTTCTAAGAAACTAAAAAGATAAATTTTTCATATAACTAAAATAACAAATGTATGGTACTTTTATTCAAAGAAATTTTTTAATATATGCTATTAAAAAAATTATTTTTAGTTTTGTAAAATAATTATAGGATAATATAATGGTATTTTTATAAAAAATAATGTACCTGATTACAGTGATTTAAAATTTGTCGTCCTACAAATAAAGATGATGATAGTGACATGATAGAAATTATTATTAAAGTCAAACCAATTTATTAAATTTATATTTAGATTTATCAAAATAAATGCCGTTTGTAAAAGTTAATGTTTATAAAAAAAAGCAACGAATGTTATATGATTAATATCACAGTTATTTTCATATGTACTTTCATCACACTTCCAAGTTACTTATACAGATATTCTTTGTTTGCATCAAAAAAATAACAAAATAAAGTAGGCAATGACTTCTTGTCATATGATGTATGTATCTGGTTTTATTGGAAATTATAAATACGCTGTTTTATCCAATGTAATTGATAAAGTCAGCAAACAGATATGTAAAAAAATATAAGCATGGTCGTATCATGCAGAAAAGGCAAAAATAGATTATAGACTTTTGAACTTCATAATCTATTTTTTTGGATACACATTAGACTTTCTCTTTATTAGATTTCTATTTATATTATCTTATTTTCTTATGTACGTAAATTAATAACAGGAAAGCTGATATTAACATTTAAGGAATTATCTTTAGAATTGTACGTATAAACCACTTTTAATAGAGTATTGAACGTGTTTATTTCATTTTGTCAATATTCGTTAAACTAATAACAAAATTCTTATTTAACTTTTCTCTGCAATAAAGACAAAAACTGTATAAATAAAAAAAAAAAAAAAGGAAAAAAAAAAAGAGAAAAAAGGGGAAAAGTAGATACATTTATAACTTATTAAGCAAATAAGTGTGAAACAAAAAATTAATTTGCGAAAAAATATAAATACGTATCTATATGAATAAACATTATTGTTATGTAATAAAAAGCAAGTAACATATCTTATGTTTTATAGAAGAAAAAATCCAACTTTGTAATTTATCGAGTTTTCATATGTTCATATATATATATATATATATATATATATATATATATATATATATATACACATATATATGCACATATGATATATATATATATATATATACATATATATATCATATGTGATATATATACATATATACATATATATATACTCGTGTATGGATCATATATATATATATATATATATATATATATATATATATATGCACAAAATATATAATCATATAATAATAGAGGGGAAATTATGCTTAAATATATTAAAGTAACAATTCTTTTATAACAAATGCTGTCTTTTTTATAAAAAAGCATAATAAAAGACATTATATTACTGAAGATAAAATAAGACTAAATGTAACAGAGTTACTTTGATTAACTCTGAATCAATATTATAGACATTTATTCAATATTAGATGATGTTTATACTTCTAAGTTGCAAAAAACAGCACATCTCCCCATCTATAATTAAAATTGAAAATCTTATAACTCATGTGCACTGAATTTGCCAGTCTTTAATTCTGAATGTAAGATGAATTTGTTTTATTGCATTTAAAAACTAAATCTATCATTGAGAGTTCGTCCTGTGACGCCAAGACTTGCAGATATACTATACATAATTTTACTAAAAGTACGATCATCTAAATCAGTTCCTGAATCAGACATAGGAACATTACGTGTGCGTGAACGGGAGCGTGATCTTGACCGTGAACGTTGTCGACCAAATACAGGAGATCGACCAATCTGGAAGAAATTATTAAATAATTAAAATAATTTGAAAATTAAATTAACTTTTGATTATAACAATCTCAAGAATAAATTATTCATTTATACCATGTTTAAATTTTGTATAGTTTGTGTAATTGGTGAACGTCCTCTTAGCAATTGATGAAGACCGCTCATACTTCTTTCGTTTCTATTCTGTGCAAGGCTTATGGAATGTTCATGCGTATTTGGTGTATAATCATTGCCTAGTGTGCACATGAAATTGACGTTTGAGGGTGTGATCCGTGCAGAGCTATAATAAATAAACATAACATACATTTTATCAATTAAAAATATGGAAGTTAAAAAAAATTTTTTTTTTATATAAATATAATAAATAAATAAATATTAATGAAAGATATGGTAACGGGCACGATATTATATTTACTAATTTAGTTTAAAAATAAGAGATAATGTTCTTACTTGATCCTCATAAGTTTCTGTTCATATTGAGCTCTTCTTTGAGCACGTGCAATTTGATCTGAACGTAATCCACCAGTAGTAAATCTTCTTTGAGATGTTAAAATTTGTTGTCGCCGTTCTAATGGTCTTTGCTGTAGTGAAATTGAAGACTTTCCTGCTTGTAACATCTAATAAGATATTTTTTTTTTTAGAAATTAACATTTAAAATTACACGACTGCATAAAATAATTGAATAAAATATTAAATACAATGACATACTCTAAATTGATTCTGGAAGTTAAGCCGTTGATTTTGTCTCTGAAGAAGAAGTTGCTTAGCTCTTTTAACGTGATTTCGATAAGCAATTTGTGCTGGACTTTGGTATCCTAATCGATTGTGAACGGAAGTTGGATCTCTAACACTACCCACGCTGTTTGTTCTTTTCAGTGTAGTTTTATTAGCAGTAAAAAATCCAGCTTTCGTGAAAGTCAAATTCGTTCTACTTCGACTACGGGTTAAACCATAGCGATTTCCACGACCACGGCGTACATTTATATTTCCTCTTATATTAGCTTTTTGATTTGAAGCTAGTATATTTTGTGAAGCAACTCCACCATTCTTGTTATAACGTTTTTTGGTAAAACTACCACGTAGATTGGCATTTTGACCACGCTGCCATTTCTGTTCTTTCTTCAATGTGCCAATATTACGCTTAGTTCTTGCACCTCTGCCTCTAAGTCCATTTCGTCCTCGTGCATTCCCTCGATTGCGTTTAGGACCAGCTTTTCCATTTGTTGTATTAGCCTTTTTCTTTTTTTCCTTTTTCTCCATCTTAATGATCTCATCTTAAAAGGAAGAAAATTCACAAGTTTTAGTGAGCATACAATTTAGTGAGCTGCAGGATTTAATTGTTTTATTATTTTTAATTTCAACTAGGCAAAATTTCAAATTAGAAATTCCTAAAGAATGATGTGATATAATAAATTTTTTTTTTTAAGTATGTTCTCTTCTTCCTTTGCATTTATTTATAATTGTGACTACAAGCTTCTAATTATGGCTACAAGTTTTCAAATATTCATTTTTTGTAAAATCATATATCCAATCAATATATGTATATGTGTGATTTTTTATAGATTAGAAATATTCATAAATTTGAATCACTATAAATAGATAAGTTAAAAATGAGAAAGAGAAAAATATTTAATATTACAAATTTGTTTAAGATATATTGCCTTGCATATCTACAATTAAAATAAAGAAACTAGTAGTACAATTTTCATCTCTTTTAAAATAACACAGCTACAATGATCAATATTTATAATCCATGTCCGGTATATGATGGAAAGTCCTAGCGATCCAAATAATCTCTTCTTTCTTTCTTTATCTATTACTATTATTTTTCATTCAAGATCTATATATCTGGGATATATTATAATTCAGAATATATTTTTGATCTATAATATTGTTCCCAATATTTAATTCTTCAATTCATTCTTCGTATATTTCACAAAATATTTCTTCGTAAATAGTTCATATTGGTTTGTCTTCAATTTATTCACTGCGTAATATATAACTTTGGCGATTTAAAGACACATGATTTGTCTGTTTCCCACGAAGAATATTCCAGTCATTGACTCTTTTTGTATCTTTTAGTTTGCTTATATATTGCAGTAAACACCAAGGATTCAGTTGCATAGTATTTCATTCTTACTTTTTTCCAGAGATGTATCGGCTTAATGTGAAGGCTATTTAAACATGTTGCAATGCATAATTTGAATTCATAGTTTGTATATTGTAGATTGTTTCCACTTTTCTACTCTCTATTTCAGACAACATTTGACACTTTTTAATTAAATTATCTTAACACCAAGATTCACTCTTATCAGAAACATTTTATAAAATTGTATGCAGATTTATATTTTAATTGTCCATGTTATATAATATTAAAGAACACAGACACTCTTTATATGGAAGAATATTACAAAATGATAATATGACAAAATGCTTGATATCCATCAGTTATAATAACTATGTAGTACAAACCACTACAGACATTTTATTTTTTGATATTATGTAGTTGCAAGTAAAGTTGACGAAATCTTTTTTTTATTTTTTATTTATTTTTTTTTTTTTTATTTTTTTTTTATTTTTTTTATTTTTTTTTTTTATTTATTTATTTATTTTTTTTTCCCCAAAATATATCATCCTTTAGATAGAGACCCTGTTGGTTATATTATATATCATATTGTGAAATATCATATTATTTGGATACTCAAAAAAAATATAGAATTCATTATTTCTTCTTTCTTCTGGTCACAACAGATTGCAAAGAAGTTAATGTAATACTTCATTGGTGAACTGTGCGCCATTTATCTAGATAGATAAAAATATCTTGTTGCATGGTCTTCCAATTTTGTATTCGATATATCGATATTTCGTTGATGAGAAGATTCTTTGTCTTTGAGAGATCATTGCAATAAATTTTCACCAATAATGGTACTTTTTTTTTCTACACCTTGTGTATGACCTTCACAAAAAATGACCATATTTGTTATCTTTTGTATCAATACATAAGCTATGCTCTTGGTAGAAGTGATAATTCAAAATAATAGTAGATATGGAATATCCACGAAAATAGAATTTTTATTACGCAAACACGACAGAAAATTGCTTTTTATAGAGGCTGAGTCATTTGTGCATTCTCGGTGAGTTGCCCAGTAGATCAGAAATGATCTGATTTCGCTCTTTCTCACATCTTTCTGTTGCGCAATGTTTCCCAGTATCGGATTAAATAATTAAGTCATATTATTAATGCGAAAAGAATCAATCTGCTTCGTGTTCGCTCAGAAATTGTCTCGTTCTCGTAGGTCGTATTTTTTCGATTTTGCGTTCGATTGGAAAGGAATGGAAAGAAACATTACGTAGTTACGTCCGGGCAATTTCACCGCCATTTTGTGTAGTGCAAAGGAAAGAATGCAGCCATACGCTCACCCAGGAATATCAGCAAAATCTGTAGATTTTCGGGACTCTAGCCACTTACCGAGCGACATATTAACTTTTGCGTCAATTTCTGACATTTTCGATGTATTCTTTGTTCTCTTATTATATTTTCTTTCACGGTTATCTCGCGAGCAACGGTTTTAAACGAACCTAACCAAGGCAACGTTTTCTCTAACACCACACTAGCACAAAGCATTCACAGGACTACTATTGACAATGGAATGTCGACTTTAATGTGAAGTTGTTCACATCACCAGAGGGCGCAAGCGCATGTCCAATTAGACCGAATCTACACTTGATATTTGCACCATGGCGTTTCCATTGCCAAATGCTGATTCGTAATTGATAAAAGAAATGAGTTTTTGAGAAAATAATAGTAGTAGTATAGTAACAATAGTAGTAATATAAAGTAGACTACTTCTAAATCTTCATCTTTAAAATAAGACTTCGTTTATTAAAATTGGTCCAAAATAATTTTAACTCATTGTCAATTGGACTTATTGTTGATATATACCATTATAAAACTAAGAGTCATGATAGCCCTAATATCCTACTTGAAATATTATACAGTCGGTAAAATCAAGAGTTTATGAATAACCCTAAAAACAAAAGGATTAGAGAGAATTTACCAACGGAACTTTGTAATATCTTAGATGCGCGATTTTCAAATGAATATACAACAGTATCTATAAGTATAATAATGTACTTATTAGTATCGGCACATGACATGACAAGAGATTTATTTATATATACATATTTACATTTTTAATTATATAAAAAGACATTTAAAAAAGTAATAATTAACAGTCGTCCTCCTTAAATCTGTTTTATTTGAGGATCTAATATCTTTTTTTAAATTGGAAATTCTTTTCTTTAAATTCTATTTTTTTTTCATCGTAAAAAAAGAATTTATTATTAATAGAACATTATTTTATACCGTCTTATTTTTTAATTGTGATAAATATAAAGAATCTAATTCTAAGAATTAAGAATGGATGTGGTATAAATACATGAAGCTAAACGTGAAGATCGTTTTACTATAAAAACTTTAATACAGGTGAATAAAAAACAAAATTCTTTTTTATATTACTTTTTAAATGCATTACGTCTATATAATTATTTTTATATATTGTAGGAGAAAATGCCTAATGAAAGATAGATTATAAAAGTAAAATTAATTATATAATTTGCATGCGTTTTAAATACATATATATATATATGCATATATATATTGTTTTACATTTCATAAATTTATTAACATACTTGAAGCTGTATATAATGTGATGTTCATTTGATTTACATTATTGATTGAAAAAAATTCCTATATCTTTATACTAGTAATAATGTAGCGAATCTGTTACACTTTATAAAAGTATATGATTTTAGTAAAAGATAGGAACTATATCTTTATCAATAAATAAAAAATATAATTAATAATGGATAATTCACAATATTTGAAATTATTCACGAAAAAGAAAAGCATTACTAGAAGTAATTGGGGCAGATATACTTTAGACATACAATTGTGGGAAGATGAGGAACCACCTATTGTCAAAATGAGATATATAAATGATGTTTCATTTGATAACTTAGAAAAGGATGGTATTCTCTCTGATAGATTAATAGGACTTGGATCTTCATTCTTAACAAAATCACCAGAATCTGGACTTTATATTTTAGCAAAATGCATTATGAGAAAGATGGTAATAATAACATTGAAATAAATTGCATGAATACATTACAATATATTAATTTGGCAGATCTTTTTTTTAGTTACTTACAGATATCACTGTTTTGTATTATCATCGTTATTTACAATACATTGACTTGGCATATAATAATCTTACAAATTTAATGCCACTAAGTGGAATTCCTTACTTAATATATTTAAATGTATCGCATAATAAACTCATAGACATATTAAATTTTACACCACCTTGGTATTTAACTTATGTAAATTTATCTCATAATCAAATAACTGAAATGTGTGATCTAAGTAGTTTTTGGAGTATTGTTAGATTAGATTTGTCTTATAATGAAATTGAAGTAATTTTTGGACTGCACAATTTAAAGTTAGTATATAATATAAATTAAAAAATGTCTACTGTTAAATATATAATATAATTATTATCGTATCATTTTTTCAGATATTTACAATACTTGAATTTATCATATAATTCAATAAAATATATTGAAAATTTGGATAATTTAAACATTAAAGAATTAAATTTAGAAAAAAATTGTATAACATCATATAAATATAAAAAATTGGGTAGTGGTATAAAAAGTTTAACCAATTTAAGAACTATTATATTAGGATATAATAAATTATCTAACTTAAATTTCTTCAAAGTAAAAATTGTTTTCCTCCATTAACCATATTTTATTACATGTATATATAATTATTCGAGTATTATATGTGTAGGATGCATGCAGTTTGCGTTTCGTAGATTTGAAATTTAATAAAATTGTAGATCTTTTAGAAGTATCAAATTTAAAAGGATCGATACATGAAATAGACCTTAGAGGTAATGCATGTGCAAAATGGCCCAATTATAGAGATGTAATTTTATTTACTATTCCAAGTGTTATGTTCATTGATGGTGTCGAAGTATCTATTACAGAAAAGGTATAAAAAAGAAAAAAGAAAATAGGAAACCATCCCAGGATTAAATATAACTATATATATATATATATACGTTTTTAATTTTGTATAGATATCTGCAGCAACTATATTTACCCCATCATTAAGTTTGATGACTGCACGTAGTATCACCAAACTAACTTTATTAGAGCATTTGAGTACTCCTACAATAGATTCACATGTAATTGCATATGATAAAATTAGACCACCACTATTAATATTGACCGGTCCATCTGCAGTAAGAAAGAGAAAATTAGCTTTACATATATCATGTGCAATTCCTAATAAAGTAATATTCATTATTTAATTTCATAATTATATAAGAACAAAATAATTTATTTTTTCATATGCCTCTTTATATTTACATCAGATAAAATACTGCAAATGGTATACTACTAAAGAATCAAAAACTGGTGAAAATGCAGATGAGTCATTTATTTTTGTAAAACGAGAAGATTTTAATGAAATAGCTTGTTGTGGTAACTTTTTAGGAATCCAAGAACTGTTAGGAAATAGCTATGGATTTCGTTAGTCATAAAATATATTTTACATCTAATTCTATTTTTTATTTTTCATTATCTTGCTAAATATTTTCATTATAATATTTAAATAGATATGAATGAAATTGCTTCTTTGATAATAGAAGAAAAAATTGGTATAACTCAAGCAGACTTGCATACAACTATGCAAATATACAACCGTTATTTAAATGTTAAACCTATTTTGGTAATTACAAATGATATTACTCAACACAAACTTCAGATAGAGAATAAATTTAATATTTATACTTGGATTCGAGATAGTGTAGACGATTTGCTTGCTGTTAATATAGGCAAACATACATATGTAAAGAAAGAATCAAAAAACAGTATATTGAACTTTATTTCAAATATTATAGAACAGGTAAAAAAACATAGTTATATATTAATTATATACTATTAACAGAATTATATATTACTTGGAATACGTCTTTACGAGAAATATACATATTATACAGATAATGAATAATTTAGAATTACCTGGATATAGTATGTTTGTTAGACCTCAAGGTTATGGAGCAACAACAACCGATATAATATATGAAAGTAGAACTACAATACCAAAACTGATAAAAATTCAAGAACCAACTGACAAGTACCAACAATTGAATGGCTTAAAGGTAATATATATATACACACACATATTTTTATATATGTATATGTAAATACATATATATTTATATATGTATTTAATTCATATACTCAGTGTAAAAATTTATATGTAGATCTTGTTAGACGAGGAATCAAATGTAATTGTACACAATATAAAATCTAAGCAAAAAAAACAAGGGATAATTATGTACCAGTACAAAAACAATGATAAGATAGAGTACAAGATTTTTATTGATGATGATTCCAATGAGACTATTTCTAGTCAAGAAACATTACTAACTGAAGTAATTCTATTCTTTAAAAATAATTAGTTAGTTTTAATAATAATATGGAAAAGATTATTTATTCTTTTTTACCATATTGAATTAAACAATAATCTAATTTGCAAGTAATAATCTTTGTTTGTACATGCAGCAATGTGAAGATAATGACAGTAAAAAGTCAGAAAATTTAAAACGTATATTTGTTGAACTTGTTTTGCAAACAAGGAAGATATATTTAGAACACCATGAAAAAAATCCTGGTTTTTTTTCTCTTGTGGTAATATATATATATATATATATTCATCCTATTCAGCACATATCAGTATTGAAATATTTAATATTGCCCAATATTCTGCAAGGGACACTAATCTCATTATATTAATTCGTTTATCATACATTTCAGTTATTAACAGATAATTATATTAAGGCATTTAATGGCTTGAGAAAGTTTATTCGAAAAACATGTATAAAGAAATTATTTCAAAATCTGGAACAAACACCAGAAATTAAGTATCTTCTACAAGTGGCTATTCCTGATCATATTCAACATATTATTGATAAAATGAATAAGTATGATACATGGTTCCTAATCAAATGTTGTATTAAACTTTTACTAGTATTTTAAAATAATTAAAAAACAACATTGATTACAATTAATATTAATTTTAAATTAATTTCTTTAGCTTTCAGAATTTTTATTATTTATGATTAACTTTGCAGATCTTTATCTATTGACAATATAAGACAAAAAAGATATTAGAAACAGATGGCACAACAGTATGATAAAAAGGACACTAATATACATTTTACATGCAATTAAAAGGGATATTAAAATTCAATTTTGTTGATTTATTTATATACTATAATTATACATAATGATTGCTATAACTATATATTTTTTTATCAATACCATTTTTATTAAATATTAATTTACTATTAAGAACTAAAGAATCAATTAAAATTAAACAAGAATCCTTATATTATAAAATTATATATTTTGTACTTATAAATCACAAAAACCACAATATATATTTCTTAATTTTTAAAAATATATTAAGACATTTAATACTGACAATATGATTTCACACTATAAAACATATTCTTATAAAATAAAAGATATATGTGTTTTTTTAATAATATACAATTGTACAAATTAAAAATATATAATTTAAACATGTATATATGCTTTTGGACAATGAGCTGTTTATCTTCATTATTCTTTTTTATTAAATATTTTATATATCTAAATATATTATCTTCATTTTCTTTTTTTTAAAGTGTAGTAAAAATGCAAGATGACAAAATTTGTAAAATATACCCTATAGGGTTGTATATTTTTATGTTTTTATCATTACAGAATTTTATAAAATTATAAAACTCTTCTTTTTATAAAATTATATATATATATTCAAAATATACAACAATTTCTATATGTCTCATATTGTATTTTTGTACGATAGTTCTATTTTCAATTTAAAAAATTTTAGTATCTATAAAAACGTAAAATTCAAATCTCAACATTATATAACCATGAATATAACCATGAATTATATATGCGTGTCATCTATTATAACTTGATTATTAATTGGAATGGAGACATTAGAAGATTCTATTATGATTTTTAAACTTGTATTATAATTTTTATTTCCTACAGACATTTTATGATCATTAAATGTAATAGTTACAGGAGTTGTGTCACCTTGTGATGAAGAATCTTGTAATAATAAGAATTCTGTTTCATTATTAGTGGAATTTAACTTTGATTGATTTATTTCTACCCAAGTTTTACTATTATCAGAATTAATACTCTTTAAATTCTGCTGTTGATTTTTATTATGTAATTTATAAAGTTTTGATTGTTCAAAGGATTGTAGACTACAATTATAATTACTTACTTTTTCTGTGGTTGTAATATTGTTATTTGAATTGCATTGTTGTTTTGTATGCTCATTACATATGTGCCCTTTCTGATATAATGAGTTACACTGATTGCACCTATGCATAAATATGCAATGAGAAACAATATTTAATATTTATTTATATATAAATACATAAATTAAAAGACATAAATGATACTTAAAAATCTTGAACTGACATGTTTTGTAATTTTTCAATATCTTTTGCTGATGCCTCTGATGTATTATGTATTTTTTGGTGAGCTAGTAAATTATATCGCTCTGCAAAACGTTTTCCACATAACATGCAACTATATGGTTTTTCACCTGTATGTACTCTCATGTGTCTTTTTAAATGTGATGTAGAAAGCAGTGATAAATCGCATACCTTAAAAGAATACATTAAATTTCACTTTGTATAAATGTTTTAACCTTCATATAGTAAGCTATGCATACATATATAATTAATATAATCACTTACATGACATTGATAAGATTTTTTTCCAGTATGGGATAAAGCATGCATGTTGTATGATGTATGATGTACAAATCTTTTACCACATAATTCACATTGATATGGTGTTTCCCCGGTATGCATTGGTAAATGTCTCATTAATGCGCCTTTTTGAGTAAAACATTTTTTACAAAAGCTACATTGAAATGGATTTATTCCATTGTGCATACCAATATGTATTTCTAAAGCATGTTTGTGTTTATAAGCTTGACCACATTTTTCACACATATATGGTCTTATATTTGAATGAGATTTAATATGTGTCTTTAATTCTGCAGATGTTCTCCACTTTTTATTACACGTAGGACATGTATATTTTAATGGTTTTAAACTATATTTTGATATTCTTCCCGATTTCCAAGAGGCAGAATTTAAATTGATTTTGGTTTTCTCATCCATGGAATTAATTTCATTACTTTCAGCAAATTTTTTTTCTAAAAGATAAAATTTTTATATTTATAATGGAAAAAAAAAAAAAGAAAAACATTGAATATATTTCTTTTTGACAGTTATTTATAATATATTATAATACAATTATAATATATTAATTTTAACTTGCCTGTAATACATGATGAATTATCTTTTATTTCTGATCTATTATTATCGATCTCTGTATGTTCAAAAGTATTTGATTTTAATGTCTCTACATTATCTTGTGGAAAAAGGGAGACATCATTGAGGAAGTGTCCTATTTCATTTTTATATGAGACTGGTAAAATGTTAACACAATCTTGATCTTCAACATGTGCTTTTGAAGCATGTGTATTTGCAAGTGAAATATCAGTAAATACTTCCTTACATTTAGAACACTGATATAATTGTATATCATTATGTTTCAATAAATGTACATTTAATTCATCATTTGTCTTAAATGATTCGGTACAGAATTTACATTGATTATAAGATATTTCTTGTTCTGTGATATTGCTTTCTTCTATACAATCATTAGTTAAAATAGACTTATGAAAATCATTTTCTAAGATTTTTACATTTAAATCTATAGTTTTATTATGTATTTCAGTCTTTATATTTTTATTTACATTGTTACTATTTTTATATTCCACATTACAATTATTATTGGTTTTAATATTTGAATGTATATTATCCAAATCTTTGCTATCAATTTCTGTTTCTTCTTTAAAAATATCTTTTGTATCTATCAGTTCAATATCTTTAATGTTATTAGTGGTCATATTTCCATTAAATGTCTGTGAAATTTGTTCAAGTGAAACATCTTGCATGAATGAAGTAGAAGTTATATCTGTAATATTTTTCAAACCATTTATTGTCTGATCTATATCTCGTTTAGTTGTTTGAATACCATCCAAAATTTGAGTATTGTGTAAAAGATAATCAGTACTATTTGTTAACATGCGTCTAACAAATTTTTTCTTCTCACCAGACTGATAAACTTTTAAAATCTCACAACGAATATTTGTAACAGTCCATTGCGCTTGTTCTAACATTTGAAATAATTTATAACAGCGAGGACAGATATAGGAGCTATGTAAATTAGAAGTTGTTGGTCTGAGTTCACGTAACGCAAAGCTTGCTAATAATTCACCGTTGTGAGGAAGAGACGTATAAAAAATATTTACACAGGAAGACACATCAATATTTATATTACAAATTACACAATATGAATCTGGCATTCCCATTGTTATCATCTCACTTTGCACGAAATCTATTTTTATTGCTTCTTTTCTTGATAAAGAAGATGTCTTTTTTCTGTATGATGGGATATGTATAGATATATAATAACGTACGCTAAACATGTACATTATTTTTTTTCTACTATTGAAAAATGCATTTTCAAAGAATTTAACAAATATTTCAACATTTAAAGGCTACATTAAGACCACATTACTTATGAAGTACGCCGCATACATAACCTTCATCTAGTTTGAGTGAAGAACGTAAATCATGAAATTTCAGTTACATAATGAAAGTATTAGAATATAAACACGAAGAATATATTATTAATAAAAATAATCAGTGCGATATGTGATGTTTATAAAAAGCATAGCCCGTGTATTTATTAATTGAAAATAAAAAATATCTAGAATTTAGTAGTATTCACTTATTTTTTATACTAGTCGGTAATGTAGATTCAATGAGTACGGTATAGTGAACGTTAGTAAGTTGGTAAGGAAATCATTCATGTTCGTGCGTTGAAAGTTGTAACAATCAATACTTGAATAAGAGTAAAAATTTATTTATTATCATGGATGTTGTTAATTCAATATTAGAAAATGAAGATGCGGTGTCAGAATCTAAAAAATATACAACGATTCATAAAGATGTTGAGCCTGAAATCGATCTAGGTTCACTCCTTATATCTGATACTAATGCTTTAGATTCAAAAAAATTAAGGTAATTAAGTTTATAAAATAAATCTATAATCCTAATTTAATTTATATGTATATACACTAGTTCTTTAGCATTTATAAATATATCTTTTATAAAATATTTAATCTTTAAATACAAGAATGTAAGATTTAGGAAATTTATGTTAACCTATATTTTATTTGTACATAAATGTTATAGTTCGAATTCAAATACTTATCTACAACAGTTAACAAGAGATAATGTTCAACTTCTTATTAATGCTGTATGGAGTCTTCCTACCGAACGTGTGGAAGAGGCAATAGTTGTTCAATTGCCAAAGCCTCAATATGTAGTTCCACGAACTCGTTGTATACCAAAACCTAAACCTTTAACAAAATGGCAACAATTTGCCAAAGAAAAGGGAATAAGAACTAATAAGAAAAATAGGACAAAATTGAAATGGGATGAAGAATTACAAGTATGTCTTTCGTTTTCTCTGACATTTGAAATTTATCATGGGACTGATACTGAAATTGCTTCCTTTCATTTATTAAATAAATTTATTTTTTGTTTTTTGTACATATTGTTTCCTCTGCTGTGTTTTAATTAAATATTGCAATATTAATAATTATTATTGTAGAAATGGATGCCCAGGTATGGTTATCAACGGACTAAAGCAACAGAACAAAAAGAATGGCTTGTGGAAGTTGGAAATGATAACAATCCAAAAGAAGATCCATTTACTGCTATGAGTGCAAGTAAACGTGAAAGGCAATCTAAAAATGAATTACAACGATTACGCAATATAGCTAAGTTGAAAAAAGTGAAACTACCACAGGTAGGTCTTCCTACTGTAGACCATTTTCCCAAATCGAGCCAGCTTTCTACAGCTGTAACAGTAGCACATCAATCAACAGCATCTTTGGGGAAATTTCAAGAGAGGTAAATTTTTATTGGAGAAAAAATATTATTTGAATATATTATTTAAATATATTTTCATACTTATAGATTACCAAAAGAAAAAGATGCAAAAGGAGTTTTAACAAAATTGCCAAGTTTAAAGAGAAAGGCTAAAGAAATTCCATTGAATCTAAAAGATGAAAAAGAAAAAAATAAAGATTTAGTAAATAAGATTCTTAGTAATAAAAGTATCATTTTAAATACGGATTCATCTTCAGTATCTACAGTGTAAGATATAAAAGAACAAAAATATCTTTTTTTCGAGTATCTTATTCTAACATTTAATGAATAAATATATATTTATTTTATAGGAAAAGAAAGAAAGTAACAAGTAAGAAGAGCAAAGGTTCGAAGAAACCAAAAGCTGGTAAAGGCAAAAGAGATATGCATATGAAAGCAGGTGGTAGAAAACGCAGATAAACAAAAAATAAAGCAATATACATGGTATAACATTACTTTTAGAACAAAATATGGTAATAAATTTTGTTATATTATTCAAGTTACTTAAGTAATATTATGCATTTATATATAAATATATATATGAAGTATATACTGTGTATCTCTTTTATTTGATCCATACACGAAATTAAAGTATTGTTTATGATTTTATTAGTTTGTTAAATCATTTACCCATTATATTTACATATTACGTACAGCTCAGGAGTATGCCCTGGAAGAAATGAAAACCTAATAGTCTAATAGTCATCTAAAACACAATCATAGATTGTTGTAATAAATGAAAAAGTTATCCATTATTTTTCTCCTTATCACATTTTTGTCTACTAGTCTTTTGATTATCTTACTACGTACAGTTTAACCCTTTTTAAATAATTCCATAATGTTTATACATAAAATTATTTAATTTAATATTTCTACTAATACTAACATTTCAACTGTAGTCTTAATCATTTGTGTATAAAATATCTCTAATAATAAAGTATGTAGTATAAATATTAAAATAAAAATGAAATATTAAATTAAATTATTAGAAACGCTTTTTGAAATCACTTCGAAACTGCTCAATATTACGTTAATTACTTCGAAGAAATTTGTTCTGGATAGAGCAATGATCTAGAAGCAATCATTTGTTTTTCTATGCTGTTCGTCGACATTATAATATGGTAATGCAAGAAACGCGGTCGCTGCAAGGTTGTTTACTGATTTATAAAGTCGATAAGTTTGTTTAGTTTAAAATATATAAGTACGTAGAACACATTCCTTATGTTCACTGCGTACGTCAAGTTAAAATAGAAGTGGGGGTAGTAAAAACGATGGATACTATAAACGAAAAGTAACTTGTACTTAGTTACTCAATTTAAAGGTTATGTATTACTTCAATCAATTATTGTTTATAAGTGAATATTAAATGAAAGACTCACAAAAAATAAAAATTCTTTATAGAATGTAAAGAAATACTTAAAAAAGAATCAATACTAATATACACAGCCTTACTCTTGAATGGTGTTGACAAACGATGTAAAACATGTTTCTCCAGCATATATTGTCACTGATATATTGGTATTTTAGACCGTTTATAAAATGGTTTTTAAGACAAACGACACAAATGTGTGAACTTCAAAGAATTTGTTATGGACAACCTTCTGGAGCTCCTAGGACACTCGCAATTGAGGAATCTCTACAGCAATCAAAAAATGCTAATATCAAGACTTTGATTACTTATTTAAATGATATTGCAAATCATCGCGGTATAACCATTAAAAGTGAACGTAAAATCCTAGAAGAGGCAATTAGAACAGTATTGGTGGCTAAAAATGTAAATCCCACAGCCCATCCTGATTTTGCCAAATCATTTGGCAAGTGCATAGAATTAATTTGGGGTTACCGCCAACTATGTGTAGAATGTGAAGAACTTAGGAAAACACCCTATGATGCTGATAATCCAGAACACGAACTATTGTTATTGAAATTGTGGAATTTACTTATGCCTTATGATCCTTTGGATGCTAGAGTAACAAAACAATGGCAGAATATTGGCTTTCAGGGAGACGATCCAAAAACAGATTTTCGTGGAATGGGAATATTGGGACTAGAGAATCTTGTTTATTTTGCTCAAGAATATCCTAGTGCAGCAACTCATGTTTTATCTCATTCTACTCATCCACATTATGGTTATGCATTTGCTATCGTTGGTATAAACCTTACCAGTATGGCATTAAAATTATTAAAAGATGGTACTGCTAAGACACATATCTATAATTCGTCAAAGACTTTGCCAACTATCCGTGCTTTTCATCAGTTTTATTGTTATCTTTTTTATGAATTTGATGGATTTTGGATTGAATCAAAACCGAGCAATATGATGGAATTTTCTTCTATACAAGAAAAATTTGAAAATAGCATTAGAATGGCATTATCCAATTCATCAACCACATTAAGGATAAATGTATCAGTTGATAATATTTAGCACAAATCTTGAAAACTATGCTTCATGTTCATAGATATCTGAAAGATAATTATATTATCAATGGTAGTATGCACAGACCATTCCTTATTTTGTTATATACAAAACAATGCATTCAAAAATTTGATAGTTAATATTACATTAACCTGTTCATGGTTATTACTATAACTCATTTTAAGAAAGAGAATGATTTTGCAAAATATAATGTACAAATACTTCAATACAACCTGTAATTGAAAATTTTTAAGAATTTAACTAATTTTTAAACTAACTTTAACACTTTTAAATTAAACACTGATAATTAATATTTTTGGCTATAATTAATTAATATACACAAGGAAATATGTGTATAAGAATATTTATTGAGAAAATGTAGAAAAAAAATATAATAGTTCAGACATGTTCTGTCCTTATGACAGTGAGATATTAAGCATAACAGATTATGACTATAGAAAAACTTAAAAAATTATGTTCATTAAAAATTTTTAATATGCATTATATATTGTGGGTAATTTTAGGATATCATTTAAATATTACTGTATATTTTTTCTCCTATTATTACCATACATATACGCCATAATTATCATTTATACTATGTAAACACTTTTTTATATCTAGTATATATACAATCTATTATATTTTAAAAGAAGTTACTATCTCGACACTTTCATTATTTCTATATGTAATAAACTATCTAGTCATTTTTTATAAAACATTTTTTCCATATATTACCCATAACATATATATACATTAACAGAAAAAAAAAAAAAAAAAAAAAAAGTAGGAGTGTTTATTGTTCCTTCTTCTGTGGCACATCCGTCTTATGTCTAAGCTTGGAAGCTACAGAAACGATAACTAGTACACCAATAGTAATACTGCCTATTTTCATAACCCATGGATTTTCACGAAGAAAATCTGCTATCTTTTGTGTGAGATCATCACTGAAAAAAATATGCACTACTAAAATACATGCTCACCTGACACTAATTTGAATAAAGTTATATGAAATTTATTAAAAATATCTGTTTTTTAATTATTGAACTTACAATGGGCTCTGTGGAACTGGAACCTTCTCTGCATGAGCATTTCTATACCAATCCCTTGCAAAGGAAACTAATGAATTAACATCATATTTTGGAATTTGATAACGATACATTTTACCATGTCTAAAGCTGAGAATAGAAAATTATAAATATGTAAAGGGAAATTATTAATGACAATAAATGAATGATTAGATTTGATTAATCGATTTTGGCTATTTTTATAGACTTACAAAATAAATTCAGGAACATTATAAACATTGAATCTTCTAGCTGTGGCAGCACCAGAAATGTATTTATCAACGCGTGCAACATTAACACTATGCTTAAGTTTTGCACCAACTGTTTCCCATCTTGCACCCATTCTTAATGAATTTACGTCATTAGTAGCATAACTACGACAATCGAAATAACATTAATTTATTATAAAATAAAAATACTGAAAAATAAAGTATTAATTGTGTGACATACAACATAATAAACCAATCACCAGTTGTAGCTCCGCTACTTGCTTGAGTCAAATGTTCAAAAGTATCATCTGTAAGAGTTTTTACTGCGAGTTCTTTGTTTTCAGTAAGTGCAGTTAAGATTTCTTCATCGTTTACAGCACCTTATAAAGAAATAAAATAAATATTTAGTATATTCTCTCTTTTTAAAAGAGATCTTTTAGATGTTTTAACTCTTCCTAATCAACTATCTGATCGATCGTAATTATTAATTTAGTATATTAACTAAACTTGAAACATTAAATTATATTTACAATACTATGTCTTTTTTTTATTATTATATAGTTTTTTAGATTCATATTCCTACCAGTATATAACAAAGGATTTCCATGCCTGAAAAATACAAGTATTGGCTCCTTTTCTGGACTATAAAGATGTAAAAGTTGACTGTTTGTCACCTTAACGACCCATGCAGATAAGCTGTCAACCAAATCTTCTCGTACATGGAATAATTCTTTTTCAAAATCATCACTTTCTTTACAATTTGATTTTGCTGTAGTAAAGATTTGAATTAATTCATAAATTTATTACATTAGATTAAAATATATTGGTTATGTCAGAAATTTATTAAAAGGAATATATAATAACTATTAATTGCGTATTGAACAATACTTTATATCATAATTATTTTCATAAACCATTGTTTGCAATAGATCAATTCTTTCTATAATAATTTTATTTATTTATAATAAATGAACTTACTAAAAAGCGTGACAACATATTTTTCGGTTTTTATTAAATTCAAAAGATCTTGATCCGTAACTTTTTCAATCTGTAACTTTTTTGTATTATTAGTCGAACAAATAGTACATATTGCAATAAAGATAAAAAATCGCAACATTTTGAATTAAATAAAAATTAATATCGCTAATCACAAAATATTATCTCGGTAACTATGACACGTCAACCAAAACTTAGTTTTCGTTCTATCCGGTTCTATCTGGCATTTCAGTCTTTCGTATTATCCAACTGTAGAAGTCGAATTAATGAATTTCTATTCAACTGATGATTGGATTTATTCGGAAGGATACTGAATCTGAATTCATATAAAAAGAATACACAACATATCGGAAAGTGTACTACTGATAATAGTAAATTTATACATTAAGCTTGTGTGTATGGTGTGTGTGTTGTGTGTATACATTTGTAGCCGCTAGTTCCTCTTGATAGGTTCCCCCTCCATGAAGGAGTTAATAAGATTTCGAGAATTAAATATCGAAGCTCCTTCATTCCGCTTTCGTATATTTAAATAAACAATTCCGTCGATTATTTTACATTCATTCAAAATATATATAACACCATAATAAACTTTACTAATTCTTATTAATTATATATTAATTATTTATACAAATTAAGTTTTTATAATTATTTAAACGATAACATATTTGTTTACACATTACATATATAAAATAATTTTAATAAATAAAATAAATCTTTGAAGAAATTTACTTGTGATCAATTCAATGCTCTTCTATTAATTAATTACAATCTATCATTCATGTCAATTCGGACTTTTCCTTCTTGACATAATTGAGTGATCGGAGAGACGTAAAAATTTACATACTGCTTAAGGCTGTTTACTATTTTTTGTTCGGAGCGTGTGAGACTTCAGTAACAGATATGGACAAAATATGAACTACGAATACCATGCGTCTATTATATCGGTATATAAGCTTCTTTGATTATTAATACTTGCGTTAATAGATTTATAATTTGATTTCAATATATCGCAAATATATGTATTTATATTATTTTTAAATATTGAAATTTTATATTATTACTATTTTAAGTTTTTCACGAGTTTTCGTCTTTATAATGTTTAAAAAATGTACCGTTGTTTAAATATTACCTTATTGTACTCCGTATACATTAGAGACTACATTATAAATAATTGAAAAATTATCGAAAGTATTAATTTATAAGATTTCACGATTAGAAAGAGAGATAAAGATAATAAAGCTTTTTCAAAAGTTCGAAAAAGTCATGCCCTCGTTTAAATTTTCATTTTTAAGATGAAATTGTGTTCATCGAAATCGCTTGAGAATTTCGTCTTTATTCATTGTTGAGATCTGACTTTGAATATTTTCAATTAAAATTAAAACAATCAAACAATAAAATTAGTAGATATAAATATATTTTGACGTATTTTTAAATTATGAAACTTTCAAAGTTTACTACTAGGCGGCGCTTTCAACACAGTAAATTTGATTCTTATACGCAGTTTTTTTAAACTGTTATAAGTATAATATCATAATGAATATTATTACGAAACAAGTAATATTTTTAGTATGTATAATGAAATGTTTAAATAAATAAAAATAATTTTATATCATTTATAACATATGACATTGTAATTGTCACATTAGGTTAGACCTGCGACTGTAGCGAGATGCATATCAACCAGCTGTATCAATTATAAAGATTTTGAGGATATATTTCATTTGGAAAGTCATGAATCAAATATACCTCCGTATGTAGAGCGAGAAGGAGAAAATGTTGATCTTAAAAGAGCACGGTAATATGTTTTAACTATAGAATCCGGTATATATCATAGAAAATTTGTTGTAATTTAGATTAATAATTTTTAGATCTAAATATCAACTTTATTTTTCAGATTGATTTACCAGTCTCGTAAACGTGGTATGCTAGAAAACGGTCTTTTACTTAGTACTTTCGCTAAAAAATATTTGAATAATTTTAATGATTCACAATTAAAATTGTATGACCGTCTCATTAATTTACCATCAAATGACTGGGATATATTTTACTGGGCTACAAATGCCAAACCTACACCACCTGAATTTGACAATGAAATTATGGATTTATTGAAAAAACATATAAAGAATGAAGATAAGCAAGCTAGGATAATGCAGCCAGATTTATAAAAATTTACTGTCATTGATATGTAGTCAATTTATAAACTTAAAACTTCTAGTATTTAATTTAGATTGATATCATAATTTTTTTTTCCGATGAAATAGAAATAAATGTGAAAAATAAATATATTTAAACTATTTTGGTATGAAGTTTTTTATAAGATCTCTTTTCAATTGGAATTTATTTTGTTTTACAGTAAACCACAAATTTGTTTTAATTACATTTATATCATCATTGTACATATAACTATAACTCTTTATAGAAACTATCCCTTGAGTTTCTTTTTTAACTTTCTATTTTAAATATAGCCAAGATTTGATATAATACAAATATAACTAAAGCTGATATGTGGCCAATTTTATGCTATTTCAGTTCATAGGCGAAGTGTAATTTTACATTTTTATGTTTTGTATCCTATGTTGGCGACCATAATTTTCAGCATTAGAATTTTCTGTACATATTTTGATTGGTTATTAGAGTTTGTATGTACATTCGTGGATACTTACAAATATTTCTTTTTTATAAATAAAAGAAATCTCTCAATAAAATTGATAAAATACATTGAATACTGCGCTAAATAATGATATAGAGCACAAGAGAGGTAGTACATAGAATGTAATTTATAAGAGAATGTAAAATTTATAGATTATACTAATTATATGCAAAATTTTAACTCATTTTTAAAAATATATAAAAACACATATAAGAAAAATTTTCCAAAACACATTTTCCAAACTGGTTCCTTTTTGTACTTTATATCTATGAAGAACAAATATACTTAATCAATTTTAATACAAGAATCACATACACGCACAGGTTTATCCCATCCTCTGTGAGGTACTGGTTTACGATGTTGCGAACATTCTTGACATACGCCACGTCCGCAATCTCTGCAGTGATGTAAAGAAAGCATAGGAGAAAATTTCTGATTACAGATACAACATCCAGTAACTTCTGAATCAGGTACCCAATAGGACGGTCTAACAGTGTCTTTTATGAAAGCTGTATAAATTAAAAATATTGAACAAAAATTAAAGATTTTCATATAAATTTAATATAAACATATAAAAATAGAAATAGATCTATTTTCTATAAAATAGATACACAATTTTAGGGAAGGTATAAGTTACGTACATTTGGAATAGTTCAAAACTGTTCCGACTGCACTTAAGGTAGATACTACATGCTCTGTCACTTTCCTAGCATTTACATCTTCTAAAGATTGAGTAACTTCATTATTAGAGCTGGTATCTTTCATATAACATGTATCACAGACACGTACAGGTGTATACCAGTTTCTGAAGGGCACACATTTCGTTTGAGAGGAACACTGTGCACAAAAACCTTCTCCGCAGGCTCGACAATGATGCTTTGTATCTGTTGCACCAAAAGGTGTTTTACATTTATAGCAATATTTAATTTCATTGTTAGGACGCCAATATGAAGGTGCTATTTGATCCGTTACCCAAGCAGATATTGCCTTAGTAGGTTGTAAAGAGACATTAGTAACTGCTTCAGTTATATAAGACATACCATCAACTACACGCTGAGCTGTATTCTGTGGTACATTAGAGGCTGTTGGCTGAAATCAAATTATAATCTTAATAACCATGTTTCCAACACTTTTTTGCAGTTATTATTGATATAACATACCGTAATCCAGACATGAGTGATTTCAGTGCAAACAGCAACTTCTTCTGGATCCTTATTTCCATACCAATATTGTCGACTTCTATAAATTTCACCACAGTGAGGACATTCTATTATGGAACCATACCATGCATATACGGCTAAGCCATACCAACTTTTATCATTATGAGTTTGTATCCGACTTGTTACTTTAACTTCTCTCCCATTGCTATAACATTTTTTACATATATATATCAAATTGTCATATTGATTTTGGTACCTGCACCTGTATAAATAAAATTCCTCTATTTATGAAAGTAGCTATTATAAGTGTATTATGTAAATAAATGCAATAATATAATGATTAGTATTACCTAGCATTATTACTATGAGGTTTTCCATCTCTAAGATGACCCATACTATTACTACACCTACAACCACAACTGAGACATTTTACTGGACAGCTAAAATATTGATCAGGGAATATGATATTGGAGAAATTTCCAGTTTCTCCAGAAAATTTATCATTTAAATGTCTCAGAGTACTGTACACAAGCTGTGGATGTCTCGCAAATCGTACCGATGTATTATCAAGTTCATTTTTTATAACCACGTATAAAGGCTTATAATCGGTAGATGAGTTCAATGTTTGAAGTCCAACGTATTTCAGTTTACTAAATGATTCTATTTCGAGTCTCATTTGACCAAATTTAGTTCTTAACATATCCTCTGCAGTTTCTGAACCATCTGAAATTAATCAAAATTTTTAAGATTTTTTCCAATAATACATTGTATATTTCTAATCAAAAATTCTTCTTTGAAATTACTGTTATTCTGAGAGATTATATGTACTGTTGCTCAGAGGTTTGGTGTGTCTGGTCTCCTGTAGAATTATTAGACAAGGGCCTAGCAAATTTAATGAACTTGGCATTCCTGCTCGTTGTCCCATTGCTTGTAAGGCTATCCGAAAATGATGACTATATGCTTTGGATGCAGTTGACAAAAACATAAACAAATCCTTATTCAATCTTTCGGAACGTGTTCGATATATAACAATGTCAGATATTGCCAAAACTTTAAGTAGAAGTCTTATTCTTTCGTTTTCATAAATAGTAACACCTATTAATTAAGAAACAAGTGATACAAAGTTTTTATAAATCATCGTTTTTTTTAGAGAGAGAAAGAGAGAGATTTATTAAATTAATAGATAATGCAAAATGATAATGTAAAATCATTTGTAAAACAAAAACAATAATACCTAACAGACCTTCTGTATCTAGGCATATTACATTAAGATTTGGATCAAATGCTGCCCAAATACCAAATGTACAAGAAGTTTGATCGTTCGAAGTTTTAAAAACTTCTTGCCCTTTAAAGAATGTCTGATTCAATGTATGACTTTTTCCATCACCTGTATTTCCAAAAATGGATATAACTTTAACTTTTTGATCTTTATTGGTACAATTCAATTTCCTAATAAATTGTTCAGCACTGGAAACTTTTAGTCTTTCTTGTTTATCGATTAATACGAAGCTTTCGATCTTATTAGGTTTGTTCTTTGTCGATAAGCCTTCCATCGAGGTATTTGCATTAATAGCAATTGGAGAATGATTTGTATTGTACATATCTCTGTTGTAAATAGATAAACTGTCTAGACTCTGCATAATTGCTGGGCTCGTTTCTTCTGTTTCATTTCTCTCCCATGCACTCATAATGTGAACTTAAAACTTAACAGCACTATAAACGTATCAAATTTATGTAAGAATTTATTGGAACAGGTGTTCCTATCTCTTTTCGTTTTTTTCCTTTTCTTTTTTTTTTCTTCGCTTTTTTTTTATTTTTTTACCAAATTCTCAAAAGATGACAAGTAAGTACAGAGATAATTAATGCACGATAAAAGTTGCGATATTTTCTATTTACATGGCCAATGCAACATAAATAAATTACTGCGCATATTAGTCGACGAGGATATGGCGTCGTCAAACGTAGTTATTTAACATAAATACGCTTGTTCATATTTTTCACAAATTCAAATACATGTATAATCATATATATACAATGTTGCAATCCAGTTCATTGAAAGTATCATTCGTTTTTACACAAATCGAGTATTTATCATAAACGAAAAATTTTAATATCGACACATATTACATGAATTTTTTTAACATATAAAAAAGTGCTTCATGACAGATACAAAAGAGGTAACCGCATTCTTCTGTGTTTGTCGGTGCGTAACACTTCCAATCACTTCTATTGTCTGTCAGTACAATATTACTACGTCACGTAGCATGCAACAGTATGACGTAATACGATGCATGTATAACGCACGTACCACGCTTCTTCTACACTTACACTAAATAATTGCCTAATGCATATTTCACTGCTAAATATATATATATATATATATATATATATATATATATATATATACATATATTTTCTTTTAACTGATTTTTCTTAATATAAAAATATGTCGAGAATAATAAATAATTATAATTATAAAAAAAAGAGAAAATTTGTACATTCAAAAGATGCTTATCGTAAATTGTACTTAAAATAAATAAATCCAGCAGATCCATACGTGTTGTGCAAACATAAAAATTCAAAAGACCCTATTTTTCTTCCATTCATTTCCTTTTCCTAATTTATAGTCATTTACAGTATCATATATTTTTATATAATTTAATTGATTTTTATTATTTTTTTTTTTCATTTCTTACCTATATTTTAAAATCAAACTTCGAATAATTTACTTAACCATTCTTTTGTATATTAACAATAAAAATATCTTTTTCATTGGTAATGTTTATCATATAGAATCGTAGAAATTGTGCTTCTAGGGAAAGTGTTCTTATGCTTTTAGGGAAAAACTATGCAATCGTCACACATTGGTAGATTCTAGATTACAATTTCCGTTACATATATGACCGTGGCCACGAAGATTGTAGATCGTGCTAAACGTTTTTTCTTTTGGACTGTGACAGATTTTCTGTTAATTAAATGGTTCCAATATTTCGTTGATATTGATCATTCGTAAGTTGACATTATTATTTATATAATATTATTGATAATATTACAGTTGATTAAAAGTTTATCACGTTAATCAAAAGATTTAACATGCGGATATTGCCGGCCGGTAATTTTGTATACGTGGTCACTTTTCTAAAATGCAATACGGTTCAAATTTTATAACAATTTATAATATACATATGATTATTGTTACAACGATAATTAATTTGATAACTCTATGATATGCATTAATTTTTCTTTTTATTAAAAATTATTCTCCATGTATCATAACCTCTTAACAATTAACATTATAGTTATTGGGTAGGTCAATAAGTAATGTTGAAATTTTTCGGTAAAAAATATTAAATAGAATGTTGTTTAATTAAATATTAAATATCAAACATTCTGACATTACTTATTGGTCAATCTATATATATATATATATATATATATATATATATATATATATATATAAATATGTATGCATATAGTTAATATT